GAAGCAGGAATAGAACAAACAACCAAAAGTTTTGCTGCAGCTATTAAGATGAGCTTGCAGCTCTCTAACGGCTGACACTACCGGTTATTGGCAGTTTAAATGGGATGAGCAGTGTGGGTCACATAATTCTGGTTGCTGATTTTATGTTATGCATGTGTATATGTATGTATGTTTAGGCTTCTATTTTTTTAGGATTAGCTGTATTATATATGCTATTTAATTTATCCTTAATGTCTCCATTTATCCTTGTTGCGTTGTTTTGCTCTGGTGACTGTTGTTGTGTACTAATATGTGGAAAGATCTATGGATTAAATAAACACTTCTGGTTGGTTGGTTTTACCCCAACAAACAGAAGGGATGTTGTAATTGAGTTAGTGCCTGTTTAATGTAAGTTTAATGAACTTACATGCAAGCAGATCAATCCTGTGGGGTCTGGGGAGGGAGAATTTGCAGCGGGAGAACCATGACTTCCAAAGACTTGTGCAGCTTGCAGGGAGGGAGCAGCTGGGGACATGGCAGGGGTCGGATACAAGCAGGTCCCTCAGCCTTCCCAGCACACCCCACCCTGTCTCACCCACCCTGTTGACGAGCAGCAGTGCTGGGAAGTTTCCCCTGGCATAACAAGGAGCTCTCCTTCTCTGCCCCCAGAAAGGGCAGTTGGCAACATGCTGTGGCCCCAGGTGGACCCGTAATCAGCCCGAAAGTTCAGGGAGGGATGCCAGAAAACTAGGGGGCCTGTTTAGCTGCTTGGTGGGCCTTTTAAATGCAACTTAATATGCTGTTATTTAATTATATGTTGGTAAAACAAGCATGCAAACAAACAGACCTAGAGGACAAAAAATAGGGAGACAGGGCCCCTCACTCCTCTCCAGCTATTGCCAAAGCTTGTCACCTTTCAACTTCCAAGGCAGTGATAAGCGTTTTCAGACTTTTTGCAAAGGTCAGAACATGAGCAATGCAGGGCTACTCTGAAACTGGCCTTCCTTTTGCATGTGCAAGCATTTTTTATTTTTACAGAGCCCGATCCCTCTTGAAAATGTAGGATTGTGGAGACTATCATTCCATCTCATGCATGCATGGAACAGTGCTCCTGGGAATGCTGCTTCAGGTGGAATAGAGTGTGCCTCAGTATGTGCCGCTTGTATGGAAAACAAAACAGATCCAAACAAAAGGTCTGTCATCATAAAGAAAAGCAGCATGTGGGAGACTAAATGAGGATAGAACCCTTCTCCCCAAAACACTGCTTTTTCTCTGAGTATGAAGCTTTTCAGATTGGAGAAGAATTGAACATGCTGTGTTTTCAAGAATGGTATAGTCTGAGGAGGACCATACTGGGCACATTTTCCTGAATATTTAACTGGCTGTCACATTTTGAGCTTTCCACACCTCGGTGACATGATTGGGCACTGGCCACTGCCGCTGTGTCCACTGAGACTCAGGCCTCCACATACAGGGCAGGATTGGTACATAGGACCAAATCGAGCCTCCGCGTTGCCTGTTGGTCTGAGGATGAACTCTGTGGATCTGCCGTTACTGCCTTTCTGCAGCCTCCATAAAGGCAAAACCTGGTTGAGGAGGCGAACCTGCAAAAAAAGAAAAAAGTGTGAATCCCACCCAGGGTTGCTGCCCTCCCTATAACCCTTGGGTTCATCAATAAGGTTATTGCAAAAGCTTGCGGTAAAGAGCTGCTAATACTGCCTAACATGATCAGGTTTCCTTGACCTCTGTTGGCCTGGGCATGAAATAGAGATGGATCTAGTTTTGATTATCCTGCTCCTAGAAGTTGGCAAAGGTCAAACGTCCGGGCTTCATTCTTTGATCTCTTGGTGGACTTTGATCTGTGTGGTCAACCAATGTTGCTGGCATTTGTGCTGATGCTGCCTGAAGTAAATAGGGACACATTTCAGGAAAAGGAAAGATGTCAGTGCTGATGCTAAATATTCTCCCTTAGATTGCTGGACTACACAACACACACACACACACACACACACACACAAAATCAGCCATTTTATAGTGATGGAAGATGCTATGGGCTGATGTAGGCTAGATTGGTGGATGTGAGAACTCGCACATTCTGAGGATCACCTCTGTGACCTGGCAATTACAGTACTGGACTAGGAGTGAGAATCTAGGGTCCAAAAAACCTGCCATTAAGTTTACCGGGTGAGTTTTAGCCAGTCACCCTCTTCCGCTTCAGAGGGCTGTTGCAAGAATAAAAATGGGCATGGGTAGGTGTTTAAGAGTGTAATAAAACAGAGTAAAGCAAGCGGCCATAGCAGATGCAAAGATGGATTGCTCTCCCTCCCTCTCTGCTCCAGTGTATTGGAGTAATAACTTAAGTGTTACTGTCAAGGGATGTGTTCTTTGGAGTGTGTGCTGCTTCTGGGGGGATACAGTTCAATATCTAGACATGGTGGAGGAAAGAGGTGCAAGATCTCAATTCATGCAACCTCTGCCTTTCTCTGAGGTAGCAATCTTACAGATCTCCTATGGCCCCAAGCAGGCCTAAACAAAGCCCAAATGTTCTGGGGGTGGCTGCCAAAAAAGTAGGGGAGAAAGGTCATCTGATTTGTAGGACTTCTAAAGACAAAGCTGTAAACTGTTTTTAGATATTTGTTTGTAAAAATATTGGGGAGCAGCAAAAATGTGGGGTGGCCCAAGCCCTCCCATAACTTATCCCAGCCTAAGGATCCAGTCCAAACATCCCCCTTCAAAGCTAGAAATTCTCTGTTGCCCTGGCTAGGAAATGCTGGGAATTGTAGGACTTTTGCCTGTCTCATCATGTATGGGATTGTGTCCTTGCACATGTGAAGAAGCCCTAGTTCACAAGCCACTTCTCGGTGTCTGAAGCTTTATGCACTTCCACGTTCACACGACTCATTTCTGACTCTAATGGCACATGCAAAACAGCAAGAAGTCAGGTATGTCAGGATCAGCTTTGCCTGCCATCCCGTTTTTTGTTACCCAGAATCAGGCAGCCGTTCTCCCCTGCACTTTTTGTTGAGAAATAGCATGTGGAAAAAGATCAATAAAATATGCAAGAAATAAAGTCGCAAGTGAAGAAAGGGCTATCAGGTTTTGGTTCGTGTGAGTAAGTCGCTCTCCTTCCCCCATATCTTTACAGAATGTTTGGCTTAACTGAGCATAAAGTGTCTTGTAACAGTTTATTTCATGTCAATTTTTAGGGTAGCCTGTTTGAATTCCAAGTACTCTGCTTTATGCACCAAGTTCTTACATGTGGTTTTGCTGCCCTCATCTGGCAACATTCGGTAACAATGTTCCTGTTGCAGCAATTCTCCTAAAACAGGGAAATTGAAAGTTACACCATGCCTTTGGCCCTTTCCCAGGGTGAAAGTAGGCAGGAAGAGAAGCTAGAAAAGGGCTGTTGTTGCAGAAAGGGCTGTTTGAATCGCCACCTCCTTTTGTTTGAAGCAGGAGTGCCTGGCATCAGAGTTCTGGACAGGCATAGTCTAAGGCATGGAGAACTGGGCATGTTCAGCCTTGAGAAGAGAAGACTGAGGGGGGACATGATATCCCTCTGTAAGTACATCAAAGGCTGTCACAAAGAGGAAGGTCAAGATCTCTTCTTGCTGCCACCAGACTGTAGGGCACGGAATAATCAATTCAAGCTGCAACAATTCAGATTCAGGCTAGATATCAGGAAAAGCTTTCTTGGTGTCAGCAATACAACAGTGGAACCAGCTGCCTCGAGAAGTGGTGGGCTCTCCCACACTAGAGACATTCAAAAAGAAACTGGACAGCAATCTGAGATGGTGTAAATTGGTGTCCTGCAACAGCAGGGGGTTGGACCCAATATTCTTCATGGCTCCTTCCAACTCTGCTATTCTATGATGAAGGCAATTTAGTGCCCAAAGAGAAATCTCCAAGTGGTAAGGATACCCCAGCATGAGCTATGGACACATCATGAGAAGGCAAGACTCCATAGAAAAGGCAATCATGCTAAGGAAGGTCAAAGGCAGAAGAAGAGGAAGGCCAACTGTGAGATGGATCAACACCATAAAGGAAGCCACAGCCTTCAGTTTACAAGAGTTGAGCAGGAATGTCAAGCATGGGCCACACTGGGAGAATTCATGCCGAAGGTGGCCATGAGTGAGAGACAACTTGGCAACACAGAACAACAACAAAGGACTCCCCACCCATGCACAACTCAGCTCAGGGCACAAAAAATGATGGGGTAGAGCCTGATTTGTTTCCTCCAGTAGGGAAGATTCTCTGAGTCCCAGTCAAGATAGTCCCCTGGTAGGAAGTGTTGAGGGAAGCAGTGTTCTGCATCATTTCTCCCCTCTTGCGGCTCCATTCTGCACTATCTCCCCTGCTGTTCAGGAGGGCTCCTGACTTGGGAGGCATAGGGGCTGCAAGAGCTAAAAGAGATCAGTCTGCACCCCTCACTTTCACCAGCAGTGTTCCACTAATTTATCGAAAACCCTAATGAGTATGTGGTCCACCAGAGGCAGACCAAAGTGCGGTGGGTTTGGAAATGTAATGTTTGTTTATTACACTTGTAGCCTGGCCTTCTTTCCATGGGATTAACCAATCCCAGAAGAGGTGGTGGTGGTAGGTAGAGTCGGTAGACTAACCCCAGTTTATATTAACTGCAGTCTTGAGAGCAGGCCAGACACTACTTGGCCTAGAGTTATCCAGTGAGCCTCATAGCTGACTGAGGACTCAGAGTCAGATCTCGTCCACCTAAATCTGATATCTTCTCTTTTCACTTTCAGGTTGCAAATAAAATCCTGTTTAGGTGTTTGCTGCATCCAGGTCCTCCCTAACATCTTGTAATGATCTTAGTTTTGTTTTATCTGTTTTTGCAGTGGCTATTTGCTATTTGTTTTCTGTTTTCTGAGCTGTTTTATCATATTTCATGATATTATGATGACTCGTTCTCCTTGAGAGTCCTGACGGAGATAGAAAAGCAGAGTAACAGTATCTCAAGGGAAATAACAAGCATGTTTTATTTTCCTGTTTTCTTGCCCAATCAGGATGTTCCTGACTACGAAAACATACATGAACTCCCCTATCTGGATATGGTGGTAGCAGAGACTCTACGGATGTATCCACCGGCATTCAGGTTAGTAGAAGCAGTAGAAATCTCTGCCACAAAGACAGATTTTCTCGCTTGGGTGCTCTGTTCAACCCCCCCTCCCCCCATTGTCAATGGCTCTTTCTCCAAGTCTGACAGAATTCCTGAACTGCTGGTGTTTTCATTTGATTTTTGTCTTGTGCTAGGATTTGTAGCCTGGCACCTCTGGAAGGCACCAGGTAGCAGGAAGACTGCAGTTCAGCACTTGGATTTTTTATTTATTGCATTTATATCCTATGGCTCACATAGTCCTAATTCTCTCCATTTTGTCCTCACAATAGCCCAGATTCCCAGGCTGAGAATCAGTGATGGGACCTAAGTCACCCAGCGGACTCTGTGGTCAAGTGGGGACTAAAACCTGAACCTCTGGAGTCTCGATCTAACACTCTGTCCTCAGTCTAAAACCACACTGGTTCTCCATCAGAGAGCATCATTCTGAGATTGGACTAATGGCAGGAAGGGACAGAGCGTGGAAAAGCAGCTATCTAGTGTATTATATTCCTTCCAAACTAGACCTGGGCCCAGCTTCCAGCTCCTTTGGGCCCTACAGGACTGTGATACAATAGCAACAGGCCTTCATGAAATCATTAATGTTTATTTTAAAATATCTTCTAGCAGGTGCTCAAGCTTCTTAAATTTGACCCTTAAACAATATAGAGATAAAACAGATTGAAAACCAAATGAACAGACCAGTATCAACAAGTTAAAAGAGAAGAGGCAGAACCATATTACCTGATTTCAAAATCATGAGAAACCAGCACTGATGTCTGAGCAATCTGAGTTGGTACCAGGCAATGCTGGCTGGAGGACTCAAGGAGACCTGGCCCTGGTGAGGAGCATTGAAGGCAGCCGCTCCTGGAGCTTGGCACCCTGGAAAGTGCAGTGGTCGGGTTGCCCTTGTCCCAGGCACTTTAGGGTTTTGTAGGTTAAAATTCAGGCTGAATCAATGTGGTACCCCAATTTAGCTGCCACATTCATAGGTTCCTGCCTAAATAAGGCTATGTGGTCTCTTCTCAAAGCTTTCTTCAGAGCAACATGATTCCTTCAGGAAGCTTCAATCTATATGCATTCAGGGAGGAAAAGAAAAGCAGCCACCCAAAAATTCTGCTGCTGCAGATGAGTTCCAGCCCTCACTCCCCAAGTTCACAACATTGCTGCTCTGAAAATGGAGGGAATAGAGATCATTTTTGCATTGCAAGGCAAACGTCCTTATTTGTGACCATTGTCTAAGCCCTAGTTACAGCCACTACTCCCAGCTGTGCCTTGAAATAAAACTGGAACCCAATCAACATTTTTTAAGGACTCTGAACATTTAGGCAGCTCTCAACTAGCAACCTGGCTTCCTTGTTCTTGAAATAGGCCAAGATTTGAATATTATCTGTTCAGTAATCCTAGCAGTACTTTCAATATAGGGAATAGGTGACTTCTGGGGGGCCCTGGACACATTTGGTAATTTTAGGAACCATCCTGGATGTTGTTATTTATTTAGATTTTTTTATACATATATTTATAGGCCACCTATAACTGCCGAGGCCTTTCTAGGTGGCTTACAATATATAAAACTTATTAACAAAGTAAAACACATTAAAACCAATTAAAATTAAAGCATCTATAAAAACAATATAAAAAGGGCCACAGCATTCACAGCTATCACAAACCTATAGAAGGTTTGGCAAAGGAAAAGTGACTGTCCAAGCAATGCAATTTGAGGCAGAGATGAACCGGTTTTGAACACCGTTTCCAACACCTTTGTCACAGCAATCTCAGATGCTGATAAGAAAATGTCTTAATTTTTTAAAAGAAAAGTTCAAGTGATAGAATACTTTGGGTTTACCAGGAAAGGTGACTGGGGCTCCAGTGGCTCCCATGGGTCTTTTTTCTGCACTCGCGTGTCAGGCTATCCCTAATGGTTTATGTGCAAACCATTATCTTCAGGCACTTCTTTCTGTTTTCTCTCCTTGATTCTAGAGTAAGCTGCCTTTGCTCTTGCAGGTTTACCCGGGAAGCAGCAAGGGACTGCTCAGTGTTGAAGCAATATGTACCAGGTGGCGCTATCATGGAAATTGCTGTTGGGCACCTTCATTATAATCCGAAGCTCTGGCCAGAACCTGAGAAGTTTATTCCTGAGAGGTCTGTGGGCTGATGCCTTTCCTTTCTTCACTTCAGTAAAATGCAACACTATTGCTCACATGGCAAAGCAAGCAAGCAAGCAAGCAAGCAAGGGCGATTGATTTATGGAGCAGAGCGACAGATGTAATTCACTTGGCCGACCTTGATTTCTCCACTAGTTCTTCTGTGAGGTCTAGATATGCTACAACTGGGGTTATGTTTCAGTTGGTATCCATGCATAATGCATGTCCTAACCCAACATCTCCTTTGAGAGGCACACGATCTTTCACTGGAGTTTGCTCCAAATGTGCGTATTCCTCCGTTCCCTATACTAATTCAAAGCTATCCTTTCATCTACTGTTTGTTTTGTTTTCTATATACCACCCCATTCCCAAAGGCTGAGGGCAGTTTGCAAGAGCTTAGAACCAGCAATAATTAATTTTTTTAAACCAAAAATAAGCATAAAAGTAATCTGGGAAAGCCAAACTGAAGAGATACGTCTTTAATTCCCTCTGGAAAGTAGCAAGTCTGTTAATTCCATCATCCCTGAAATACTGACTCAGACCATTGTGCCCCTTTCCCTGTGTACATTCGCTTAATCCCTTCTAGGCTTGAATGCCCCGCTAAGTTTTCCTTCACCGCAACTAGGTCACCAGTCTAGCAATCAGTCCTTATTCTCCACGCACCAAGGACGAATCCAAGTCTGTCTTGAACATTCTTCCAGTACGTTTTTGCAGCTCTCAGGGTCTGTTTCAGATGCTTATCTCTTCTTCCTCTGGCCCTTTCCAGAAGGAGGCATACCAGAGAGGGAGCTGCAAAGGGCATCCATCGTAACAGATGACCAGCCCTCTTGTGTTCGCCGGACTGCAGCCAGATTCAATTGAGCAGTTACTTGATTGTTCAACACTGCCTCGAGTGCCACTCTTTGCTGGAAAGGCAAGGCATAAACCAAATTAGTACATGGTCCGATAGACATTTACTACTGGCTCCTGTATTATTTCCATCGAGATACAATCCGCACATAATTGCCAAGACGCAAGCATCCGTGTTGCAACTCGCTCTGCAATGTGGTCAGCTTGCCATCACGTTGTATTTTCACATGGCATAGAAATATCAGCAGTTCAGGGTTTTTTTTGGCTAACAACTACCTTTGCTAGCAGTGACTGCACTATAGAGTCTGAAAAGTCTCTTTTCAATGGTGTTAGTTAGACACTGGACGCTTTCTCAGAAGAGTATGTTCCCCTACACTACACATTAAGCTTCCTTGTCATAAAGGAAGGAGTCTTTATGAAAGGACCCCCTTTCTAAAAGGGTCCCACTGTTGCTCTCTCTCTCTGGCCTAATTGGCAGGAGTGGGTTCATGGTATGCAGCTTGCTACAGGGTGCTGCTACTGTTGTCTGCACAATCTTCTGAGAATTAAAGATGCATGTCTGCCAGCAACATATTTCTTACATTGCTTTTTAATCCTTTTGTCTCCCAGGTTTACAGCAGAGGCCAAGAAGCAGCGCCATCCCTTCTCTTATCTCCCCTTTGGGGCAGGTCCTCGTGGCTGCATTGGCGTGACACTGGCTTTGATGCAAATAAAAATAACATTAATACGAACTTTGCAGAAGTTCAAGTTCAAAACCTGTCCTCAGACCCAGGTTTGTAACTATGCTGCCCCAGCCATGGACAGCAGGTTTTTTGAGATTTCCAAAGAGTTTGCTAAGAAGGGGATGACTTATTATTGCAATAATATCCAAATAAGCTAGCTAGACTTCCATTACATTTAGCAGCAAGCCTCTTACACTGCGCAGCAGGAATTTCTGGAAGGCAGGATTCCAGTCAGCTGGGTTCAGATAGAGTCAGCAGAATCTCCCTTGAAAACAGTCTGAACCAGAGGACAAAGAAAGTGGCTAGCTTTCATAGGTTGCAAACTTACAGCATTCAATGCATGCATGCAGCATACCATACAATCAAAAGATATGATTACTGGAATAGTTTTGATACTAGTATTTACACAGGTGCAAGAATTAATGAAGTACAGAGAACTAGTTAGAAGTATTCCTGTTTGGATGCCCAAGGTTCCATTTCTGACATCAAAGCGTAGGCTCGTTACTGCCTCTTGCCCGCAGAAGCAATCACTGATAAGGGATGGTCAAGGCTGATGTGTGTGTTTTTTGTGCCACCTTAATATTGGAAAAGAGAAACTCCTTACTTTCATGAAAGCATGTTGTCAGGGGAACGCCAACTAAAGCTCTATTGTACTACTCTATTATAAGGCCAAGTGAAGCAAGCATTTTAAAGAGCTAGAGACCCAAGCCTGGCTTTTTGAGGTTTGGGCCTGTTACAGTAACTGTGTTGCTTCTTGAAGCACATTGCTTTACTTAGTGTGGTAACACAGAGGGGAACTTTTTAGAAATAGCTCCTGAGAGATGTAATTGCTTTTCATTTGTGCTTGGCAGCTGTTTGGGCTTCTAGCCAGTGTTTGAACGGGGTAGGCTTGGCACCTGCCTTCTAGCCCAGCATCTTTATTGCCTTTAATCCCCATGGAAACCTTTTCTCGATAGATATGGCTAGTGAGGAACCTCTGCACACCTGCCCTGGACCTGGTGCAGACTGCAAAGGTTTCAGGGAAGGAGAGCTAATGATCTAGAATGTAGTAGAACCATTGGGCTGCCCTCACTGAGAGTGTATCCTAAAACATCCAGCATAAACGTGGGATGTTCACATCTCGTGACAACTATAAATACCTCTGCAAGGCGAGCATTATGTAACTTTGCTTCATGTTCTGTTTCTGTACCCTTTGCCCAGATTCCTTTGCAGCTGAAATCTCATGGCACGCTGGGACCCCAGAATGGAGTCTGCATCAAGCTGGTTTCTCGATAGAGCAAAATCACCACTCTGCATGCCGTCTAAAAAAAGATGACTTGTTTTGTGATGTAATTACTGTACTGAAAATATGCTGGACCAGGCTTTCTCTTCTATGTATAATCTATCTTCAAAAAAATCAGGTTTTAGGGAGCAGAATGTAGTGTTCCCAAAATCTCAGTGTGCTAGGAAATATTTGTGTGCTTTAAAGAAGAAAGCAAGACAAATTTGACATATATGTGGGCCCCTCTCTAAGCTCTGCCCTTGAGAAACAGTTCATAAATGAACAGATACAGCACAAGAGTTCATACCTTGGCTTATTTTCCTGGTTTCTTAAACAACATAAAGCCAGAATCCTCCAATCAAACTGGGGAACTCTGGCAGAATCAAAAAAACCTAGATTTTTGAGCAGAAACTAACAAGTGAGGGTGGGAAGGTAAGGGTACCTGGCCTTCATGCTTGTTCTCTGCTTCGTAAACCATAGTTTGTGAAGCTAGAAACAACCATGACTGCTGAAGCTTCAGATGTGCATCCAAACCTGACTAGCATCTATGAGCTCCAGGTAGCTGTTGGGGTTATTTACACGTTGAGCATCAGCTTTGTTCTGTGCTATGGTATTACTCAAGAGCCATCCATCCATCAGCTGCAGCAGAGTTACAGCTTTACTTTAATGCTTTTCTGATACAAATGATTACAAAAGTAGCAGTGTGGAATCTTTGACGAAAACACCCTCCATGGAAAAACAAATTTTTATTTACTTGGAGCAGAACTTCGATGAGGTCACTGGCAGTTGTGTCTAAGTCCGTGGGCCTGGCAGACTGCAGAGAACGCTGCACCCTTGACGGTGGCATCTGCCCCATCGGATTTGACACCACAATGCAAATCCAACGCTGTTTCAACAATCCCATGACTCTTGCCACCTCCAACTACTTATACCCAAGTAAGGTTGCAATGGGTCCTAATGAGTCCCAGTTGGGACTGTGTCTGAGCAGGTATGTATTAGATGCTGCTAACAGACAACAGAGTTTTATGAACAGGGAAACTTTCTAAAAAATGGTGAGAGGAAATCTCAGCTGAATTCTAAATTCTCTACTTGCAGATCATGTAAGCAGAGCACATTTCCAAAACGCAGCTTCTGCTAGCCATTGAAAGGGCTGTTCCGGGTGCTCGAGGTTCATGCCAAGCCACCAGAAGGTCTGTCCAGATCTCCCCTGTGCTTGTAGGAAACACCAGGCTAAACTTGGAGGCTTCCATGCATCCAGTGGTTGGAGTGGGATGCAGCCGTGGTTGCAATTGCTGCCACTTCTCACCGTGTGCATTTGATCTGGTTGGTCATTTATGGTCATTGAGATGAAGCACCAGGATGGGAGGGTCCCAGCCTCCTCCCCATCCCACCCCACCCCACCAGCATGCCCCATCCCCATCCCCAGGGCATGTTTGTCCTCCCAGAGAGGCAGGCAGCATGGTTCTTCCTGCACAGCCAGCAGTGGGAGCAGAGCCCTTGCACCAAGCTCACGGGACCTCACCCTGGGGATCCCAAGAATTCCGTGGGCCCCAGAGAATGCCAGGAGGCCACTGGTATGCATCTTCACTTTGTTGCAACAAGAATTCTTAGGATGCTAAATTCTCCAACCCTAGCCTTATCGCTTCAGCAGAGTATGAAAAAGAGAGGGGCTTAGAAATAAACAAAGATTAAAAGGTGTGATGTACTTGGTGCATTTGGAAACTAAACTTATGTGACAGGGTGGGGTGAAGAGATCATGATAAAACTAATAGCAACAGGAAGAACAAAAGGTCATTTTTAAAGTTTTTGCTCTTGCTGCTAAAGCAAGGGAAATCATACTTTTTGTCTTGAAAATAGCTCTTTTAAATATCGTAGATTACATGTCAGGCTTCATTTCTACACCACAATCTGTAGCTTTGCCTGACCTTTTGGTTTGTCAACATTTTGGCATGGGTCCTTCTTTTCTCTTCTGTCATGCCCAGATCACTTTTAGCCTAGCTTATAGAGGCCTGCAGCGAAAACTGTGGCTGGCTGTATTTAACCTCTGCTGTGGATGCCATCTTCTAGCACCTGCTGAAAGGTTGACTGCCCTTCCCCTGTGCAGTCAAGGTTCCAGTGTCTGATAGAAGCAAAATGGCAGGGAGCGCAGTGGTGGAGAATGGCATGAACAAACATGTCTCCAACCTGGTGGAAGGGAAATTGTGGGAAAACAACACAAAACGCAAAATGGAAGAGGAACAAAGAACCCACCACTCATCCTTTCCTTCCATCATGAGTCCAGAAGGGTTTTATATAAGGCACTTCTTCCACTTTCTGAACACCAGCTTACACTGGTAGAATTACTCAGTGTAAGACCTAGATCCTCCGGTACAGACGCTCACGTGACGTCTTTTACAACCAAGGCATCAAAGGTGTCCTTCAAGATGAGACCTTCCTGTTTTCAGAGCCAGGGCTGAGCATCAGCATCAAATAAGCATTCTTGCGCATTTACTCCATGTGTCTTTGGCAGCTATGACTGTACAAAATGCAAGTTTACAAAGTATGTTAAATTTACCTCATTTGCAGTGGTGCTTTGGGTATGCAAATAGTGTAGGCTCATCTATAGAAGGCTTTTGCATGAACTGTTGGAGCATGTACAATCCACCTTACGCAAGTCAGAATGCAGGTCCTTCTAAACTAGAGCTCTGTCTGCCCCAGCCAGCAGCAGCTTTTCAATGTTTCTGGCAGCAATTGGTCACAGCCATGTTACTGGAGATCATTAAACAGGAGATGCCAAGGACAGAATCTTAAGTATGCAAGACGTGTGCTCCAACAAACCTATGTAATAGACAACTTGGTAAAACTGAAGTCCTTGGACTGGAATGAGTTAGCATAGATGTGACTTAGCATAGAAGGCCTGCTGCAAATTCTAGCTGTTGCTGGACACGTCTCTGATCAACCAGAGCCCTGTTTCTCCAAGGGTAACTGTTGTTATTATGTGCCATCAAGTCACCTCCAACTCATGGCGACCCTCTGACTGTCCTGTCAAGGCCCTCCATATGTCCTGTCCTTGACAGTCTTGCCAACTCTTGTAAATCCCAAGGCTGCAACTTCCTTTACTGCTCCAGCTCATAGTTGGTCTCTCCCTTCTTTTTCTGCCATCAACTTTCCCTAGCATGATTGTCTTCTCCAGAGAGTGTGGCCTTCTCATGATGCACCTTAAGTGCAACAGCTTCAGTTTCATCGTGTTTGCTTCCAAAGGACAATAATAGCTATAGTAAAAGCACCATACACATGACAATTATGAAATACAGAAGTTATAAATAGCAGTGTCAAAGGTTAAAAAGTAAGTTTGTGTTGGGTTTAGCGCTCTAAGCATTATATTTGTGTAAGATCTCAGAGTGGACAATATCACTGTTTTTAAGGATTTGTTTGCTTTGACTGCAGTTTGCCCAACTTCAGAGCTCATCAGTAGCTCACACATGTATTTAGAGTAACTGCCAGAAAGCAAACCAAAGGTCTGCTGCTATGACTGATTATTCTAAAGAATCGTCTTCAGGGAATTCTTAGTTCGTCTCAGCTGGAAGCTGTACTTTATAAAGTAGCTGGGGAATGCTGTGATGTGTGGATGACCAATCCCATGCTTTTCTTAGAAAAAACCTCTTATATTATCATGAAATAGCAGATGCACAGTGGGTGGGGGGTTTTGTACTGTTTTATTCTGCACTCTTTTTTAAACTTTTAGAAAATAAAGGTTATTTGAAGCACAGCTTGCTGTTAGACTCTCTGAAATGGTCAGTGGTCGTGAGTCACACTGCCTCTCTGTACAGCCTGCCATTCTTCAGATGGAAGGCAAACCTGGGCATTGCATGAATGTTGGGGAAGATGTTAGCAACATTCCAGGGTTGTGAGGCTCAGAAGCGGGTGGTACTGTACTGCCTGGTCTCATCTGCTTGATCCTTTTTCTCATGCCTGGCTTCATTCAAGTGCAAATGAAAGGACTGAACTTATAAACTGTGTGGGCGCATGCACATGCGTGTTCTTGTGGTTGCGATTTCTATGTTCTGTGGCTGACACGCAGAGGAACGTTGTGCTTGACCTTCAAAAGATTGTCGTGCATGCGATCTGAATTAGACTTTTAGGACTAAGGACTGAAGAGAAAATAGTACTTCAGTAAAAAAGAGTAGCAGGGAAAGCTGCTGGTGGAAGCTAACTGGAATAAAGTACAGCAGTAGCAAGGCATTTCAGCAAAGGCTTCTCTTGAAAAGGCAGTATTGTGGGAGACCTGGGAAGAGGGGAAGCTGGTGGCTTGTTTAAAAAGGGGAAAAGGACACACACACCCAGCCTAAAGGAAAAAGATCTGCGTATAGAATCTTCATTCTTGCATTCAGATTTCAAGGGACCTTTCCTGTGACTATATGGCTATCGTAATGTGAAATAATGGCCATTCTATACTTTGATTTCATTAGCAGGTACATCTGATGTTCCCCATCACTACATTCCACTCAAGCTGGGTGTGTGTGGCCAGAGGATAAAAGAACTGCTGCAGATTCAGTCTGGTGGTATTCTGCCATCAGTCCTTTAACTTGCATACAAGGGAGGTTGGGTACATTGTACAAAGGATCAACCAGATGAGACAAGGCAGCAGCCACTTAAGCTTCACAGTGCTGAAAGATTTTACAGCTACAGCTGTATAGTCTCAAGAACCTGATACAGAATCCAGCCAAATTAATTAATTACAGCTTTTCTACCCCGTCCACCACGAGCATCTCAGGATGGCTTACTGCCTTAAAACTGAGCCATTCCTTGTGATTCTGAATTATTCGACTAGTTCAGTTTTACTTAAGCTGCTCAAGGTACAATCCTAGCCATGTTCAGACAGAACAATTCCTACAACTTTTTTGTAGGCTGGAAGTTGTTCTTTTGACATTGTACTTACATAATGCCCTTTTACTTTTGCAAGGAACCAAAGGCAACTTACTCTCCCTCACTCTGTTTTTATACTTAGAACAGTTCTGTGAGGTAGGTTAGACTGAGAGTGAGTGACTGGCCCAAAGTCCCCCAGTGAGCTTCATGGCTGAGTGGGACCCAGAAACTAGATCTCCCAGGTCCCCGTCTGAAACCTTGTAGGGCCTTTCTGTTGGCTTGGGAATGCTGGGAGTTGTTCAGTTTTTTCTGTCTAAATGTGTATAGGATTGTGTCTCAGTCATCCCTCTGTAGCTGCATGACACAACTCAGCGTACCAGAATCATTCCACTATTTCAGTAGAGCACATGTACACAATGATTAGTGTTAAAACATTTCCAGCATGGGCTTTATTTCACAAATCCAAAATTCAGAAATGTACACTGTTCACGATAAAGGCAGCTGACAAACTACGTTACAAGAAGAAACACAAACCTAGTGACTACAACTGGAGTGCATCTAAGAGATGCATATGTGGTATGCTTGGATCAGTAATAATTTTAGGGCTCTGGAATAGTGTTACGAATGTGGTACCCAGAATCTCTGCAACCCGCATTGGGATTTAAGTCCAGAACCTCCGGAAAGTGCCAGGTTAGGAGAAGCTGCTCTGGACAGCAATGCAGTTCACAAGGCCACTTTCTTCTAAGACATTTCTAAAATTTGTCTACCCCTTCCTGGTGCTTTAGTAGATAAAATACTTGCCACAAAGAATGGCACAGGATTGCAGTCTCATAGGATTTTAATCAGTTGAATCTTACAAATAAAAAGCATTGAACAAACATTTGTTCAAGCCATGCCTCTTCTAAGGTAATACACAGAGTTATTCTTATATCTAAACATACTTTACAAAATGTTTACCAATGAATTAGGATACCAATTTAATCAAAAGTATTTAAAAATCACTGAGTAATGCACGGTGGACCCAATGTAAAAAGATTCTTAACACAGTCTTTCAGGAAATAACCTACAAGGCAGAAAGATAAACACCTATAGATTCCACCTAATTTCTGTATTTTATTAGGTATTCTGGATAAATCTGGTGCTTCTCAAAAATAACGAAGATCGATGGATTCCGGATGTCATTCACGCAACTGTTGTAGAACGTTGTGCTAAGGCTATCTTTAGCAGGAGGGCGCAGAAAGGCAGATACACCGTTTGTGAACTCCCCCACCAAAACTTTGGCTAGAAACATGGTCTTGAGGGAAGAATTGCTTCTGCTGTAGTTGTCAGAATATGAAGCATCCCTTGCAAAGTAGCTTCCTGCAGAGGGGAAGGGGATGAAGAGAGACAAAAAAGAGAGCAATGCTGCCTACTGTGATTCAGCTTAGTAGACCAGACTTTGCAGACCACCAAGACATCCAGCTGATGTTCCAGGAAAATCTCTCCCCTTCTGCAAACTGAGATTCCGGGCGGTCTTTCAGGTCATGAGAGATCCTGCTAAATCCAGACAGTGAACACTGTGTGCTCTCAAGCTTTATGCTAAACCCTTCAAGGTCTCCTCTTCAAGTGAACTATCAAACCACACTGTTCTTAGCACTCACTGCCCTTTAAGTGATGCATGCTCTCGGATGTCACATCCTTCCTTGCAAGCAACTGCGTTCAGAATACTCTGTTTGGACTTTGAAGCCAACAGCTAAATGGTACTGATACAAGGGCAGCCCAGAGGTCTGTGGCACAATTGGGCAGCATAGAAATGTTTTATTTTTATTTTATATATATATATATATGGGAAACGTCATCTCTAGGCAGTGATTTGGTCAGTGGAATCCTTGCACATGAGGAAAGTACAAATGACAGAAGTTACCTTTGCCATAGGCTGTACCATGAACACCACAGATCCTCCAGTCAAAATTCTGCTGGCAAATAGCATCAATATGGTTTTCACTAGTCCCATGGAATAACTGCCTTTCATCCACCTCCTTTCCTTCATTTGCTTTTTTCATTTGCTCTTTTTGCCTATAAAGGAGAAAATGTGACAGAAATTCCCTAAAGAAAAAGCTGGGTATTGCTCTGATTAAGCAAAACATATTTTGATTAAGCTATTATCAAAAAAAGGAACCCTATTCTATTCTATTCTATTCTATTCTGATGTGGCTTTTCAGAAAAGAAAAAGAAAAACTGCTCAGCCAATCAGTATGTGTAGAACTGTACAACTTATGGGAGGTCTGCTGATTTCTATGCTAATATGAACCCAGTTGCACAAATGAATCGTTCAGAGCAGATTAAAAATCGGTTGCAAAGATGACCAAATTGCACATGTACCCCGAGGAACAATTTGCATCACTTACATTTGTTTTTGCTTATGGCCCCAACTTCTCTGAAAGAAACAAACCAAATCTTTACAGACAACATCTGGAAAAAGCTTGGGCACATCTGGAACTTTACCAAAGGAAAAAGCTCAGGCACAAACATCCCACGGTGATTGAAAAGTGGCAAGGAAAACTCCAAAGTGCATGTTGAGCTAATCCAAGCTTTCAAAATCAACAGCAAGGCTACCTATACACAAACAGCAAATCAAACCAGCAAGCAGCTACAGCAAGCCACTGTTGCCTGTTTCAGGTATCAGGCTGCTGAGTCTCTAAATAGCACTGAGGAATTCAGTAGGACTGAACAACAGGTGGTCTCCGGAAAGATTCTCTTAGAGGAATGAACCTGTTCCAGTTTCAGTCATGCATTAATATATATTATATCTGATTTGCTGTAAATTTTCCTTGATGTTTAGTTTGTTTACTTACTTGCATATGCTATTTTAAAATCTTGATAAAAATGTATTTTTGAAAAGGCATTCAATAGGATTTCATGCTTGTTTAATCCAGTGCTCAGGAATGTTTCTAGAAGGCTGCTAAGCAGCAGGAACTGTGGGATTCACAAAAAACAATCTTTAAGAGAAACGAACTACACACCAGAATAATAGCCTTGCACATACCACTGGTAGACTTCCCAGAGAGACACATTCTGGATTCTTTTGATCTGCATGATGGTTGCCTTGGGCATTGTGCGCTGAAAGCTAACCTGGACTTCTTTGTACTCATTGGAATTTGGAAAAAGGGTGATCAACTGGAAGGGAAAAAGGAATAAAAATGTATCACAGAAATGGCAGCAAGACTGACTGTGCAATGAAAGGATTATTTACAAGAACGTTCAACATTCTATCCACCGAAAGGTTATGTGCACTGAAGTCACTTCAGCTGAGAGGCAATCTTCCACTCCATGCCACAAGCATCTTCGGCACTGCTCTTTCCAATTTCTCTCCTTGCCTCCTCCCAGATCTCCTGGTAGTCACCATGGGGTGGTGCCCATGGCGGGAGCTCAAGTCTCTGCAGACTAGGCCTTGAGGGTCCTTGACCTCAAGGCATGGGTGGGAGAGTGCACTGTGGTATCTACAGCCAATAAGCAAAGACCTACTTATCAGACAGATCTGCTTGTAGATGCTTGTGTGATGTGGCAACTAGAAGTTCCATGAAAGCTCACAAAGTAAACCCAGTTTACTTTACTACAAAGTAAAGAAGAAGAGAGTAAGAACTCTGAACTCACATGAACCTGCAGCAGACACACTTAAACATCTTGGTTCCAGGATAACCAAGAGAATGGCTATGCTCAGATGAACTTTGTTCTTTGGTTAGGGCAGCTTTCCTTAAGCTGGTATCTTGCAAATGTGCTGTGATACAACCCTCACCATCTCTAGCCAGCATAGCCAATCTAGCTCAGGTATATGGAAGTTATCGTCTCTACACATCTGCAGGACACCTGGCTTAGATCATTTGATAGGTCACTCTCTCTTAAGTTTCTCATGTTTCTGTGGCACAGGTCAAACCAAGAAACAGGAACTTTTCACCCAATGCTCTTTCTCTCTAGGGATCCCTGCCTAAAAAAATCCCACCAAGCTATCTTTCTCTTGGGTTTTAGGGACTGACAAAGCTTTTCTTTGAAGGGAAAAACTAGTTGATATCAGATTTCATGGTGGGATATCCAGTTTTATTCCTCTTGTGTTGTGTTTGATTGCTGATTTTCCACTGCATGCTGTATCACATGGTGTTAGCATTTTAAATTGTATTATTTATACAGGCCATTCTGAATGGAGAATGCAGGTGGGAGGTCAGTGACTCCTGAGTCATTGAAGTGGCCATTCTAAGCTGAACAGGAGCTGTCCGTGGTGCTGAACACAACACATGAGCAATTTCTGTAAAGTCCCACTGGCCTTTCCTGAAGGAAGGGTAGACATGAAGGAAATCAGTACACCTCCTGTAAACTCATCTTGCCAGAAAAAGTGATGCTCTAAAATAAAAATATTCAAACTGAAATGAAAAATTAAGATAATCTGAAGAACCACAGAATGCCGAATCCTAGGCGGCCAGGACAATAATGTGCCCATAACAGTGCAACCTGCCCTTTCCACCTTGGCAGTATCCAGGCATCAACCTGTACAGAAGGGCCCCCCACCATTTTGGGCCAGTGGACCCATTTGGAATTGTGATATAAAATGTCATGGATGTGCTCACAAAATGGCTGCCATGAGGGGTGACCATTCATGAAATGGCTGTCATGGTGGGCCCAGCAGGTCACAAGACAGTTATTTTGGAGAAGTAAAACTGGTGAGTCTGAAAACAAAGTCCTTTGCTCAAGATAGAGAGGGAGCCTGTGTTCTAAACCACAAAAACACTCTTTTGAACCCCAATAAAGATGGTGCTCGAAGGCAGCCACGCACTTTGCAGCACGCCTAATTCAGTTTTAAAATACTGAGATCATGATCTCAGGGCCGCTTGGGGAATGTAGAGGTCTAGCTCCAACCCTGGAAACCTTTCCAAGGCAAGAACTGAGCCTGAACCTGGCAGGCCTGCCTTCTCGCCACCCTCTCAGCCTGTGCTGCAGAAAAACACACCGGCTGTACTTTGGAGGATGCAGGACTACCCTGCTGGTGCCTCCACCTCCTCTCCCGCTGCTCTGCAGCAAAAGACTTTGATGGCTGTTTGCAGGAATGCAGAACCACAGAGGTGACCTTTGCCTTTGTGCTTCTCCTCCCTTCCACAGGATACACCTTTCACTGCCCACTGGATCACACTGCCCATTACAAAAACCTTAAAACAAAATAAAAACCAGGAGGGGCAGGAAGCATGTCAGAGAGATCTGCAGAAGCACTTTTGGTGCCTGCAAGGCCCCTGGTGGCTCCCTTGGCCGTACATTGTGCAGAGAAAAGCACATGCAGCTGAACTTTCATCTTAGAGAGTACCATACTGAAGGCTGTGACTTTTTAGGGGCAGCTGGACTACACACACACACAACGTATTTCGGAATATCCTACCTCATATCCCACTTCTGGTAATTTTGACTGGTCCCAGTGAGATGGAATGAGCGTGGCGCCTCCCTTCGAGGGCTCAGCCCTGCTTGGTCATTAGGGAATATCAGAAAATAATAACTAGTAAGAAAAAATGTCCAGCATTTGAATGCATTCACATTTTGAATGTAATCTTAAAATTAGATTTTAAGAAATTGAGTCCTATTCTGCACAACACCTTAAGGATTCCATGCATTCTACCCAGCCTGTCATCTAACTATTTGCTTAAAACCCTGAGTTTTCCACTTTTTGCAGCAAATAATGAGAGATGGGCCAGACCTCCTACCTATGCAGTCAGAGGGAAAGTGCTGCAGCAGGAAGTACCTTCTTACAACTCCTTCTCTTCCAGAACCCTACAAGGGACAGGATTTTGCCAAGGGAGCTCTATTTCAAAGAATTATAGGAAGAAGTCTGGATCTCACACAAACCTGCTCTTACTTTTTCCCTGGCTAATGTTTTTAGGAGGTATGATTTGGCTGTAATTGGAGAGAACCAGGGGAAGAGCTAGTGAGCTTAAGGGCATCCATTTTTTTGCCCCATAAATGTGAGCATGGATAAAATAATGCACCCTCTGCAGGACAGCTCACTCCCCTGAAAACTTGTTCAAGTGTGCTTCTGCTGTAGAATTATGCCCAGTTCTAGTAGAATATTTTGTATGTTAAGTCAAGCACCACTGCTTGAAAGTTAGCAGAACTCTGTGGGACCCACAATGGTAACGCTGTGTGAAGCTTTCATGACATGTACAACTTTCTATCATGGGAAGACTTCCAGAGAGGTAGCTGGGTCAGTTGGCACCTGATGAAATGAATGGTGTCTACAGACACTTATGCCAGAATACAAGTGTGAAATCTTTAGGGTGCAACAAGACTCTTTGTTTTAGTGTGATGTTCAAGAAGAGAGGCGTGATGAGGAGCATGTTTGACTAGGACACACAGCACCAGGAATGCCACACATACATTTGGGGCTTTCAGATCCACAAGACATAAATTCTGTTAGAGGCTGCTAAAGCCCGCTGCTTTTTACGTAACCCTTCTCTCGTCCATTTCCCTGACCCAGAAGCTGAGCAAGGCTTTCCTTGCTAAAAAGGCACTCCTCTGTCTGGCAAAACCTCTTGGCTCAGGACTGGAGCCAGGCTGAGAACTCTCGGAAGATGGGATGCCAGAAATGCAGGGGATTGGTACGTCAGGTTTGGAAACCTTTTAAAGACAAAGTGGTAAACTATTAAATTATTTGTTTGTAAAACAAATTTGGGGGTGGGGGGGCAGTAAAAATTTAGAAGCTGGGCCAGGTCGCACCTAGCGCGCCAGGTACAGGCCTGATTACTGCCAGGAAAACTCAAGACAGGAGGGCAGGGAGGGAAAGATTGTCTCCACCTCACCTACTTCACTGCAGGCTTCAGCAGTGCACAAGAACCTCAGAAGGAGAGTTGGGAAAAGCCACTGTCAAAATCCATCCTGCCAAGCATTTGCCGGCTCCCTCTTGCACTCAGCTCAGTCTTCCAGAGTATGCCAAGCCGAGAGGAAGGCCACAAACACTTGTGAACTCACAGCTGTGCAAGTGGCAACCTTCTGTGGCAGCTGCAGCAGCCCAAACAGCAACCACAGCTGGCATGGGAGAGGGACACTGCTTGTGCAGAGGTAACGGGGGGGGGGGGTGATTTTTAAGTAACATTCCTCTAGTCCATTTCCCTAGCCCAGAAGGTGAGCAAGAGGTTCTGCTAACAAGGCACTCCTCTGACTCACAAAGCCCCTTGCAAGCACTCTTCTTCAGCATGAGTGGCAGCTTTTAAACAGAGGCTCCTCCTGGTGCAGCCTATGGGGTTCAGTTCCCAACAAGCACCCGCAAATGCTGGGCACGCTGGCCAGCATGAGACTCTGGGACACTGCAAAGCTGCCTGGAGGTGAGGGAGGTGAGCCCAGGGACTCTGCCAGCTTCCCACCCCCAAAAATGGATTCTTCACACATCCTTCCTCAGAAGCCTCAGAGGTTTCCTAACAGTAAGAGTACCGCTGATAGGACTGCACCATCATATTTTACGGAGTGGGTGGATATCATATATATTTTAAGGCTGTTCAGTTTACCAAAGCACAGACCACGGCATTCTTGGATTTCTTTCCTATCATTAGGTTTCTTTTAGGACACCCAGCAAGTCTCTTTCCTCTTGAAGTGTATAAGATTCTTTAAAGCTTCTCTATCATTTTATTTCTTACATTTATGCTCTGCTTAACTTGCAAGGAGCTTGAGGTACGAAGAATGACTCTACCCCATTTTAAATCTTCAAGAGAAGGCTGCCCAGGGAGCTTCATGGCTCAGTGGGAAATTAATCTAAGGCAGCTCCATATATCTTAAAACTGCGAAACCAAAGGCTTATTTGGCACAGCTTCCGGTTTCCCACAAGGAGGGAGCAGGAAGAAAGAGGCAGGGCACACTGGCCTCCCCTGCTGTTTAGCCAAAATACAGACCAAATCTAAGTCCCCAACAAGGCAGTGCATTCCCTAGAATAAGAGGTGCCCCAAAATATTGATTTATTCATTCACCATATCTAACCTTTCTACCAAAAAGCAAGAATGCTTTTGGCAGCAATAGTGAAACTGCATCATGTTAAAGCTGTTTGTGGGGCAAAAAATAAAATCCTGCAAAATTTCCTTGTGCTTAAAGCTTCATTCCCTCTGCTGTGCTCTTTACCACTATTACTGAACTCAAAATGTTTTACACTACAGCACCAGCAACCTCACAGAGGTCATGGAGACACAGGGCAATCCACAGAGAGGCTGCTGCACATCTTTTTCTTGCCTTAAACCCTTCTCAGATTTTAATCCACCAACTATCTCTATACACACATCCATCACCAACCTTGCTTTCTTCTTCTCCTCTGCTTCTTTTACAGATATAAATGCAGGCCGCCTACGAACGGTTCGTTCTGTCCGGTACCGCAGGTTTTTCTGTTTCATGGCTGACAAAGATAGATAGAATGGGACTTCCATCTAAAACATCCTCTGTTCTATTCAAAAACTCCTCTGTTAACAAAGCCATCAAAAGTGCCATGTTTATATATCTCAGACAAGCTAAATGACACTTGTTGTAATTTATATCTTGAAGCTAAGAATGGAAGCAGAGCCAAAAACCTCTAGAAGAACTGCATCCTTCTAATAAAATCTGTCCAAGTCCTCCAAGAAAATCAAGACTGGTTGATGACACTTGTTGAGCTGCTGTTAGTTTAGCTCCAGTCCAAAAGCAGAGGTGACCCTAAATAATGAAGGGTCAGATAAACATGGAAATAAGGCCTGTTTGACTTGTGAATCCGCTTCTGATATAGAAGGAATTGCTCAAAATCCTTATTACACTCCTATCAAAGAACAGCAGAATCTTATGTGTATTTCCACAAAAAAGCCTCCAACCCCCAGCATACCCCAGCCAGTCACTGCACCTTAAGTCAATTCAGACAACACAAGAACCCACATTAAAGGGTTAATCATAGGCTAATTGCAGTTTGTTGGAACTTGGGATGTGGTGTCTGCTAACAAACCACGGTTTGTTAAATGCAAACAACCCATGAAAAGAACTTGTGTTTAATTGTTGGGTAGTGAACTGTGGGCTGTTTGTGATTAACAAACCACTGCTATGTCAGCTAGATGGAGACAACACAATAACCCATGTTTCAACAACAAAGCACACTCAGTTCTTGAATGTGAGTAATGTTGTCTGGACTGAGCCAGTCTCATAAATAATCCAGTGTAAACTCTTTTCATTTTGTACATTTTGTATGCAGAAGGACCCATCATCTTGTTAAAAAGGACCCAGGTAATATGACCGGGGAGCTAAAGTTTGGAGAGCAGTTCCCCATCTGAGTACACCAGGAATGGGAATCCTGAAGCCTATAGGTCAAATTCAATCCTCCTGGGAGTCAAATCCTGGGTTCCCCAGATGGCGGAGCTTTCTTCTTCTGGTCCTCTTTCCTGACACCTGATTGTCTGGCAGCCCCCTTGATTCTGCACAGCTCTTTCCCATTCTAAACAGCTGAAATACCTCTTCCACAGCTCAATTCCTGACAGCAAGGGCTCTAAGTGCAAAGGTGCTGGCATTTTTTGGAGTTTTGGCTTTGCCCTATTTTGCCTTTGGCCCTACCCCACCACTGGATTGTGGCTCCCAAGAACTTCTTCAAAACTGAATTAAGCCCTTGGATCGAAAGGGGTCTTCCATCCCTGGAGGAGAACATACGAGGCTAGAGTGAAAAGTCTGGCTGAGCATAAGGCCACAGGATGTGAGCCACTAACTGGTGCCATTTCAGCACTTTTCAGCTGATTCAAGAACACAACAAACTCAGCGTGGATCCCCCCAAACCTACCTTTGAAATCAATCTCATACTCATGCTTCCCAGCAGAGAACTGGAGTGTTGAACATGCTTCGGACTGGTACACCTTCTCCAAGTCGAAGCTGGACACGGTTGCCACAGCGTGGTCAGTTGTCTGCCGGCACAAGATCAAACCAGAAGCATTTGTCCCAAACCAGAAGTTCCTCCAAAGGAGCTGGTTTAAAAGCAACTTTTCTTGGTGAACACATATATAACCTGCGTCCTTTGAGAGTGTGCATAGACCAGGAGGGCAAGAAAGGAACATCTGCCACTCTGCAGTAAGCATGCATTGGGTCTGAGCTGTCACAAATTTGTTCAGAATTTTATAGAAGCAAGGGGATGGAAGTTAGTTGGTGAAATGAGCAGAGGATTATGAGCTTCCAGTGCAAGGCCCTGAGGCCTCAATCTTTGCTGCAGCTCAGGCCATGCATTGTATCTAGACAGCTGTTCTTAGACGTCTGGATAAAGCACCAGGAAGGGGAAGGGAGAGAGACTGGGATGCTGGCTGGCATTGTGATGTCTTGGGCAGCATGCTGGACTGGGATCCAGGAGTCTCTGATTCTAGTCCCCACTTGACCACAAAGCTCACTGGTTATCTTTGGCCTATCCTACCTCAGAAGGCTGTGGTTGGGAGAATAAAAAAAGTGGAGGAAAAGCATTACATATGTAGCCTTGAGTCCTTTGAAGAAAAAAGGTAGGATAAAATAAAAATGAATAAATAAATGTGGCTCCAGTCCCTTCTCTGCTCCTCAGCACAACCCCTTTTCCCCCTCCAGGACCAGTCACAACCTCATGGGGGTGAGAGCAGGCTGAAAGAGGGGATGGGGGCTCGGCCTTTGAAAATCTGATGGTCTCTGGGTAATGCTGTGCCATGAAGGGCACAAAATGGGAGCATGAGGGAGTCCAAGTAGGCAGTCCTTGCTTGATCGGACAAGATACAGGGTGGCATCCACTGGATCCTGACACCTGCTTGCGACTGGCACCCCGACACCAACCAGCTCTCAAGTTTAACCACAAAATCCCCCTCCCCCACCCAGCATGGTTCTGTATTCACGGAGCGTACAAACTAATAACTCACTTTTAAGAACTGTGGTCCAAGTTTGCTTCCCCCCCTCTTCCTTCACCATCCCTTTCCCCTCCTGTGTCATGTCTCTTGCTTGTCTCTTACAGCCTTGCTTTATTGGTTGTGTATGAGCTGCCTTGGACGCCTTTTCCACTAAAAGGAAGGGAAACTTCCCTGCAGGGAAGGCAGGGACAATCTCACCAGGAAACTGCCCCGATCCCTATTCATCCCCTTCGGCTCAAAGCCAAGGACCCTCCCGCCTCACTGATGAGAAGGGCAAGCAGAATCGGGGCACAAACTGCTGTCCTCTATTCCAGTCCCCGCAGCCTGAAACAAGGTTCGGCAGCATGCCTTTTGGCCCAAAGACACTGAAACTAGCACTACGGTCACCTGGAAGAGGTAGAAAGGGCACTACGAAGACAGCAAGTAACAAAATAAAATAACAAGAAGGATAGAGAGAAGAGGCAAAATTGCATAAATTATCCCATAGAACCTTTCATTTACTGTCCAAGCAAAGTAACATTCAACTTTCTCACCCACCCTATTCATTACACGAAAGCAAAATGGACCCCCCCCCCCCCCTACAAGGAAGTTGTCTAGCCAGGGTCTGTTTGCTGGTTGGTATCACCAAGTGGAGACAAGTGGCACAATCCCTTAAGCCTTCTTTTAATTTCCCAGGGCAATTCCAGCAAATGGGTGCCTAGGCTACAATGTAACATCACTGTGTGAAGGGGGGCGGGGGTCATCCCAAGAAGCCTTCAGCTGTAATTTATTTGGTCCAATTAAGGTGGTCAGACAAATGGCCTTGCGCGCAGGACTATCTGGCACAGATCTGATTAGCTGGTGGTAAATCCCCACAGCCCTCCAGACCGAGCTCGAAGAATGAGGCACAGAAAGGGGAACAAAACGCTAGAAGTTTAACCCATACCAGCCCTTGCCCAGGACTTTTCCATGACAGCCCATGGCTCTTACGGAGCTCCAATTCAGTCCAGGGAGGACTATATAGGAAAATGTCACCGCAAGTTACACAGCCTGTTAAATTACTGGGGGAAGACGGCCTGCTGGATTTTCAACTCCAGGCACCAAACCACAACACTTTCCAACGTACAAAGGTGCTTCACCATCGCATTCATTTCAGTACAGTATTACTTACTTGAACTCCATATTCATTCCACATATTACTTTCATCTTTCCAGTACCACACCCAATTGGTTGTGAGAATATAATGAGGCGGCTTGGTGACAGCGGATGCTGTGGAGAGGCGTCTAAGTTTGGCAGAGCCGTAAGTCATTTGGATGAAATCAATGGGTACATTTTTAATGCCTTTTTCAGCAACAAAAACTCTGTAGACAATTGGATTTTAAAAAAGGGGAGTGAGCTCATTTGAACATGTTCCAAAGTTCTCGACAAGTGATTCTCAAAACTAAGAATGCTAAGATCTGCTATTTTGTACAGACCAATATGAGACTATGTCATTCCACCCCACAAAGAGTACTTTTTAAGAGTAAAATTCATTTTAGGACAGTGCTGCACTAAAACATCACAGGTGTATGTTTTTTGCACAACACAGGAGTATCCAGAGGCTGACATGTTCTCCACAGCGGACGTTTCGCTCCTGGGTCTGCCACCCCAAGTGGTTGTGCTTCAGCAATGCAAAGTGAGAAAGGCCGCTGTCCAAACTCCCAGAGATTTAGGAGGGGGCAAAAGGTTGCTAGTGCCATCGCTCTGGAAAAGTTTCATATGATAGCAACGACAAATCTAACTGGCTACTGCCAACAGCACTATTTTGAAGATGGAGATGGCATATTTTTTAAAAAAAATTGCAAAGAAAGGATGCTGGGGCAGCACTCAAAAGGGGCTACAAAGTACACTCTGGAGTACAAAAGCAGAATGTTGTAACACGAATGCTAATTTTAAAGCTAATGCAGTAAGTGGGTGATAACACTATCACAAAACGCCCAGTAAATAAAGGTAGCGCAAGCAAGACCAAATACAATGACTCTGCGTCAATTCCCACAATTCAGTGGCAGGACAAATGCTTTGCAGGCAGAAAGGCCCAGCTTTCACGGTTGGCATTTCCAAGGAGGGCTGGAAAGGACCCCCTCTGAAACCCTGCCAAACCACTGCCAGCCTGGGACAGTGAATCTACATCACTCCCCCAGTGGACTAAGTGCAAGACAAGATGCCCTTCCCACTCTGAATGTTCCCATGAAGGATGAACACCCATTTTAATGCAAAGTGGCCGCTTAAAATATTTCCCTTACAGCCTAAGCCTGACACTAATCAACCACTTCTCAAAGCCTGAAGATGGTGGCGAAAGGGTCAAGTGGTTTGGCAAGAGAGAAAGGTCCATCTTTTCTGAAGATCCAAATCTGAACATCTAGGGGTTTGATCTTCCTTTCTGATGGGTCACCATGGAAGGCAGACAAAAAGAGAAAGCTGCCTGGTGATTGGTCTCTGCCTGCCTGTTTCAAATGGAAAGGAGGACAGGAAAGGGATCAGTTGAAGTCCAGAGAGCACCCTTCAGGGTGGATGACTTGTTCAGCTACTACTTACTGGTTGCCACCCAGGTGGATACATTTAAAGCTGCGGACTTCACTCACGAACAGAAGAACTGAAATTTTGCTCAAGTATAGTTCTGTTGTTGTGATGTGTTGTCAAGTCGCCTCAGACTTATGGCAATCCTATGAATGAAAGCCCTCCAAAATGTGCTGTGCATGACAGCCCTGCTCAGCTTTTCTAAGTTCAAGGTTGTGGCTTCCTTTACGAAGTCAATCCATCGCTTATTCAGCCTTCCATTTCTTATTCTGCCTTTCCCTAACATGATTGTCTTTTCCAGAGTCTTGCCTTCTACTGATGTGTCCTAAGTATGACAGCATCAGTGTCGCCATTTTGGCTTCTGTAGTGTAGTACTCTTTGCTGTAAACTGAGATTATATTATATGAAGAATTCCTACAGGCCTTCCATCACCACATTTGCAGATCTACCATTTTGAGAGCCAGAAACATTTTTATTCCTACCTGCAAAGCAATGGCTAGAACTTTCACGGAACTAAGAGGACCTTAAGGCCTGCAGGTATTTATTTAAATAACACAGACACCTGTTAGTCCTCTATTTCCTGTAGGAAGATGGAACCAATTTGAAATATTTCTTGTAACCTTAGGTCAAAACCTTGCAAATTACTGCAGCAGCTTAGTTAGAGAAAGACAAAATAGAATAATCAAGTATCAATCCACCTGCTAAATGTCAGCCTTTTAAAAAGCAAATGACAGCAAATAGTATGTAACAATGTGATTAAAAATCAAGAATATAATTAATATATCTATACCTTTCATTATATGGGTCACAATAATCTCGTTCAATTTTCTCCATATTTTCCAGATCTTTCCACAGGGTACCATCAAAGACTTGCCATTTATATGGCAAGTGGAAGTGAACTCGAATACATTTATCTGGATAAATACAAGTAAACTGCTTTAGATCTCTGATCTGTTAAAATGGCTTTAAAGTAAAAACACTAAAGAGTTGGTGTTAATAAGATTCCCGTATATACAAGGTGTGGCACCAAAGAGAAATGCTTGCAGAGAGACTTGCTTTCCATTTCTAGGTCTATTATTCCCTGTGGGCTTGATTCATACCTACACCATTTGGTTTTCTGTTGCTTGGCTACTCAACATCCAATGACCTCCAGCGGTGATGTAAAATTCCGTTGAAAAGAGCTGCACCAATTTAATCTGGGGTGATAATGGAATATATTCTTGAGAGTTATTCTCCCACAATAGCTCTTGTTCACATGCAAAGACATTGATTAAATAGGACACAGGCAGCAACATCATCTTAGCAAAAGAGCATCTAAATGCATGAGTTTCTAGTACTGAAGTGGGTGGCCTGTTTTTTCTGCTGAATGCCATGTCCTCTCATGAAGGTCACATGCCGGCAGTGGGAAAGGCTAAAGGCAGCAAGCAAGGCTCTCCCGCAAAACGCATACTATTTATCTGAAAAACCCTGAAAGAATTTCGACCATTGCCCCCCACCCCCTCACAGCCAGCCATCTAACCCTTTTCTCTCCCCTTCTTCCATTTATTCTTTCCTGTCCCCCCCCCTTTGCCCCCCCCCCCACTAGAAGGCATTCATTACCTTAGGCCTTTCTTCATTCCCCTGGAGCCCCAACCACAAAGTGAGGTGGCTACCTCAGAAAGATACTCTAGCTACTGCTATCTGTGGTTAGGCCTTCAAGCTCCTGGCCTCTTACTCTTCTTGCCCCATTGGATTTTGTGACCATGCCCCCCAGCTGGCCAGATTTGCATTTTTCATGTTTCCCAATAGCTTAATCATGAACCTATGGCTTCATGAATGTAATGATCCCATTACTACTTCCAAAGCACCCTCACTTCCACAACCGTTGCATTCACCTACCGTGGTTCTGTGCTACCTTTTACTGAACTACCTGAGGTGGTTTACTTTAAAGTAATTGATTGCAGTCCAAGGGACAAGATACAAAAGAAAAAGGAAACCACACGGGGTGAGGAAGATAGACTGGTATCCTCCGGTTAATCCAGACCACTGCATGGCTGCCATGCATTCCTTGAGGAATCCTCATCAGCAGAACAACCTAGCTTACCTGGATGCAGGGATGGCCTGGTGAAGAAGAACCAGGAACCCAGGAGTAAAGCATGTTGGCACTGGATGAGAAGGCAAAACCCCCTGAGGTAAGTGAGGGACATCTTCCCCCTCCCCAGGTAGACTTGAGCTCTGAACCAGAGATGGAAGACTGTCCAGTCCATGGGACACCACCACTTGAATAAATACATGCAGGTCTCCCTTGTCAGATGGAGTATCAGTCCGTGCACTAGGCCAGAGTAATTAACTCCAGCTGGGAGTACAAGCACAACTAAATAACTCCTGAATAAAAGATTGACTAGAATGTCAATAACCTTGTTGAAAACAAGGTCTAGCCTTGCTTCTGAACTCTAGCATTTGCCTTGACTTCTTGCTCAGACTAGACTTTTCATGATTTTTATTTTTTTCGATTTTTTTTTCAAGCTCAATATTGAACCCCTCCTGAATTCTTGGACTATTGACTAGCTTAATAGGACTTTGGACTGGACGCAGAAAATGCTTCTGCCTTAAGTCTTGGAAGGCTCTTGCAATCAAAACAACCTTATCTGACAGATTCTTTGTGTTTGTGCTGTTGTACTAGACAGTGAAATAGCTGGCCAAGTTCCAGGCTTATCATTTGCATGCCAATGTAGGCAAAACACCTGAAGTTGGCCTAAACACATCGTATCCAGTATCTCCAGGTTTCTCCAGATATTTTCCAAGAAATCAATCACACAATGGATGTCTACATGAGTTGGATTTTATGCTTGCACGCAGACTTTGGACTTGGTGTGCATTCCCACACACCTCATGGTGGGGCATATCAGCCCAAAAATATTGCCCAAACTAACCTCACTGTGGGTCATATAATCACAACATGGAATGGTCACAGTTGAAGGATGGGGCCATATTCAACGTTTGGCCTTGTCAGCATCAAGGATATTAATGCTTCCCTGTCTCAGCTATAAACGCTTCTCACAACATCTGTAGGAACTAAATCTGCCCACCGTGCAGTAAATGCAATGAGCAGCTCAGGCGTTTTGTGATTAATGTGAGTCCGTCTTTCCACCAGAGGCTGCTAAGGAGTAATGATGTTGCTGCTGCGGGCTTTAAGAGTAGCAACGGTGCACTTCTGCCTTTAAAATTTATTTTGAAAACTTTTATTAGATGAAAAGAAATCCATAAAAACACACCTACTAAGTGAACTAGATAGGGAACAGGCCTGAAAGGAGCATGAAACCTAGAAAAAGGACTCTTCCAGGAACAGGATGTTAATAGACTGCTCAAAATCCCACATTCATGTTATCAGAATGTCCACTGTATGTGATGCCGGCTGTATCAGTGAGAGAGACACAAGGATTAGAAATTCAAGGTCAGTATAGGGTAAAGAGAGAAATACAGCTTATCTTCTTCAAAGAGCACCCAATGCAGATAGAGTAAATGAAAGGAGGAGAAAAGTAAACCAGCAGTTTGTATATAGGTAGATCTAAGGTACACAAAAAATACAGTTCATCAACATCGGGCAGAACCTACTCTCCCTTGAGGAGACCAATGTAGTGAAATTAATGGTTTTTTCAACTCAAACTATTAATATAGCTATGGCCCCAGCTACACAGAGTATATAAACCAGGTGTTGAAAGGGTTCCCAGTTGCATCAACGAGATAATAAATAGGCAACAACATCCCTGTGCTTAGTAGTTCTTTGCAATGATGCTAACAGATCATTTCTGTGATGCTGAAAGTCTATAAAACAAAGTCAGCAGCAAGTGATAAAAGTATTACAGTTATGCATGTAAGAAGAGGAAAAACTTGGCATGACCGATGAGAAAAAACAATCTAATTCATCTGACTTACCTTGAAAACTACAACTTCTCCTAATGTGGTATAAGCAAATTGTATCTGATTCTTCGCTGATCTTTGCAGTTGCTGGTACCTGACCACTGCTCTCTCTTCTTTCTGGGGAAGAAGGAAAAAACAGACTCCGGAATGTCAATCTACGACTCATGAAATGCAGGTTCAAATCCCCACTCAGCTGTGAAACTCACTAGATGACCTTGGGCCAGTCCCTATCCCTCAGATTAACCTACCTCACAAGGTTGTTGTGAGAATTAAGTGGAGGGATGGGAAGAACCATGTAGTTTTCTTGGAGAAAATGCAGGCTACTAATTTAGCAAATTAAATGAATGTTCCTTTTTAGTACTCCTATTAATTCAACCATCGCTCCACGTGCAGAGGTTATAAACCAAATGTCAAAAAGGTTCCACAACATGATAAGGCAGCAAAATCCCTTGCTCAGTAGCACGTTACTCTTGAACTGCCACAAACAGATTTTAATTCAAGTGTTCAGGAAGATGGAGCAATGCATGTGAATAAATGTAACTGTATATTCAAAGATAGAAGAAAAAAACTGATTTCATGGATCCAAGCTCTGGACCAAATAAGTAACAGCTCAGAAATCCTGCTGGTTTGGAAGGATCTCTAGCTCCTGAAACTATCAATGCTCTTCACTGCCTTTACTGAACAAAGTTTACAAGACAGACAGACAGACAGACAAGGTATCACTTCTATTCATGCGGCCACAGCTGAGTATTTGCTATTATGCTAGCCAGACGGGTTGCTCCTGTAAGGTTTTAACAGAGTTTAACTCTACCTTTGTATGGAGATGTTCTATTTTTGATGTCATATGCATTCATGTAGATCACAGTAATTCTACTAATTAGGGCTTGGCTCATTCCCCATTTCTCCAGTTTCTCATAACAGTCTGGATTTAAAATGTCATGTGAGCGTCTGCAGTTGCTTCCAAATCTGCATTGTCCCTGGAGGTAGTACTGACATATGTGCAGTTTGACACAGATCTTCTTAAAGTTGCAAGACCCATAGGGTCCGTCGCCTTTATTATAATATGTGCATATCTGGGAACAGAAATTTTAAAAAGACAGATACATGAATGCCTTTATAGTATTTATTATGCTTGTCTGTTACAATCTAAGGAAATATGTAACACAGGTCTCAGGGCGCCTAAATGTTTGCAGCAGGCACAGTTTTAAGAGCAAGATCAATCATCAGTCTCTTGGGGGTGGCTGGGAAAGTTTTTGAGTGTTAGGATCCCAGGTGGATTTTGGCTTTCTAAAATGGTATGAGACTTTCTGCACTTTTGATTGGAGGATATTCAGTAGCCATGGGATGACTACGCAATTGCAGTCATCTGGTAGGCCAAGAAATTCTCTCCAGTTGCCTGCAGGGTGGAACTTCGGAAGTGGTGTTCAATTTCATTAATATCACTTGGTCACAAATATAAGCCCTACAAGGAAACAAGCTGCTGAATTCTCTTCCCTTGGGGCCATATACATTCTAAAATCATTTTAATTAACATGGCTAAACAAGTTATACCCAAGCAGGGCACTAGTGCAGCTATAAAACACTAATAAAACCAAACTATTTATAAAAGCTACCCTAAGTAGCTTTAATAGATTTTAAAACACAGATCTAACAATGCTGTTGAACCAGTATGCCAATTGTTATCTCAAGCACTCTCTTGCTGACCTTACAGAATTAGTTTTCCTCTGCTTCAGAACAAGGGTTAAGCAGAGATGCCACACCTCTGTTAATCTTTATCTTAAATTCTTGTGTCCTTCTTGTGCTTCTCTTATTTTCCCACCAAAGAACAAGAGCACACCTGAATGCCTACTGCCAAGTCAAAAGCTTTCACGATCACCAGAATGCACAGAACGCTAAAGCAGCTCCATGAACTATCATTTTGGGTGACAAAATGCTGCCCTCTTCTACACAGTGCCGTTGGGTAGCAACCTGCTCACAGATCCTACCCTTGGAGCCCTTCACTAAAACTCTGGGTCGCCCCTGGAACAGAGTGGTGAGAGGTCCAGGGCTTCAGAGTGAGGGCCGCCAATTTGGATGGCTTTAAAAGGGGACTGGACGGATACCTAAAACAGGATGCCATTAATGGCTACTAGTCTTGCTGGCTATGTGCTACCCCTGGTATCAGAGGTGGAATACCTGCAGCTGCTGAGGAGCTTGGGCGGGAGGAAGCTACTGCACTCACATCCTGCAGCCGGATGCATATAACCCTCGAGGAAACCTGAGAGCAGCTGGTTTGCATCCTATGCATTTCCTACATGTCCAGTGTGCCCCAGCCAGCCAAGCTGGAATTCGTAAGCCTCTTCTCTCTGAACATGCATGGGATGGTGACCCTAGTCAGATGCACATAAGCCATGAGGGATCCTGTGAGCAGCTGGTTTGCCATCATGTGAACAGTGTGCCTGAACCAGATGGACCCTTGGCCTGATGGAACATGGCTTTATGTTTTTATTAAGCTCTTTGCCTCGCTTGATTTTATTTTGTTTAAGATTCCATCTGAATAGTTGTTCCTTAACTGGGAGGCTGGCATGCTATAACTGGAAGGGCTGCTTTCCAGCCCCATCATTACTTGATCAAAGCAGTGGTGTTCTGTTTTGCACTGTAGGCACCATCATCACTCTCGTACAGTTCTGAGTGCTGAGAAATTTGTGACCAGCCATGCTCACACTGGCAGCCACTCCCTGACTGGGCAATCCCTGTGCCTACCATTTTGTAGGGTACCCCTGGCGCCTCAACAATATTCCAAATGTATCCACTGACACCAAAAGCATGGCAGTCCCTGAAATCATGGTTCATTCCAGCCAGCTTCCTCTCTCAAACAGTGGCAGGAGTGATTTCCTGGGAAGCCTAAAGGCAGGAGGAGGCAGAACCCACAGCAACCTCAGGTTATTTGGCTTCAGCTGCAGGCATGGAAGGCCTCATGGAGGTTCCAACCGAGGTATCACTGCTCATAAACACTGGCAGACCCCTTCCATCTGTGATGATTCAGTCTTCTGATTTAATGGCTCTTTTGTCAAACATTTCGCATTATGATAAAACGGGCTATGCTACATCCCTTGAGCTGCAAAGTCGTTTATTCATATGTAGTTAAAATATTCCTATCTCAGTCTTTCAGTACAGCCTTCCAAGGCAACTTAGCAATACGGATAAACACCAACAAAACAGCGTCAACCGTAATAGGAGACCCACTAAACACAGCAGCCTGTCAACTGTAAAGGCCATTAAGTGCCAGCCCAGCAGGCATGTTGTTGTTGTTGCTGTTAGTCGCAAAGCCGTGTCCGACCCATCGCGACCCCATGGACAAAGGAATTCCACAGACTATGGAAACATGTCCACCATATCAGAAAGACCATAAACTGAAGGATTAAGGAAATGATCCTATGCATGTTTAGACAGAAAAAAACCCCTACAACTCTCAGCATATCCAGCCAGTCACACTGGAATTTGTTGGACTTTTATCTCCAAACATGCATCAGATGGTGACCCAAGTCACGTGCACATAAGCCTTCAAACATGCCTTCCGATGCACGGAGTGACATGAGGCAGTGGCACCTGCTGCCCCCGTAACTCGCCCTGTGTACAATCTCCATTAAAGCGGTCATGCTTTGTGCCAGGAAGGAAGGAGGCTGGGCACCATCAGGAATTGATATAAACAGTCAGCCATTGCCTTCTCCTCTCATGGCTCACCCATTTGCATCCTCCTTGAAAGCCTGTTGCGAGAACTCTGAAAGGACAGGGGGCTCAGCCTTTGGAATTTCAGCTACCAGGGGCACAGAGCTGGGGGTCTAATTAATCTCATGCTGCCCAGACAACCTCAGAAGCCCACAGGATTGCACACAATGTTGTTTAAACACTAAAAAAGACTTGTAAACTGGCAATGCTCTGATTCTAAGCGATCAGGCAAGCAATCCAAACATGCTTCTTCAGTCACCCTTCAGGCCAAACATGCACAACAAAGGTATGCCAGCTGATTACCTCCTCATTTGCAGTAACAACTGTTTCAAGAATGCAGCACATGCACAGACACATCTGGTTATTAAGAGCTGCAGGAAGGCCTCTGAAGGGCATCATTACTCACAGAGGCCTGTTTGTGGGGCATTTGTGACAGGGGTTTCTCCTGCATCACTCCCAAACTCTGGAATATGCACTTCCCAAAGAACTGTGAGTGCTCCCTACTTTCTTGGCTTTTAGAAGACATGTAAAGGTGCTTCTTTTAATTTAGGCTTTTAAATTGTGCAGTCTGGGGCAAAATGTTTAAACCATAGGGCTGTGCCTTTAATGTTTTACTATCTATACTGTTTTTCCTTCTTACTGTTTCCTAAAGGTTGGACAGCAGGTTGATGGCTGTTTAACAAATAAGTAAAAAGTTAACAAACATTTCATCACTTTCTTGGAGTTTCTTAGGTAGCATGACATGTAACCATGACCATTTTCTTTATCTCTGAACCAAATAAAAGGAAATTCACTGAACCAATTAGGGAAACACATTCTTATCTTTTAGGTGTAAACACCATAGGTTGGAACCGGACTGAGGGTGGACTCATAATCCATTGGCTTAAGTTAGTACTGGATAGTTTACGTCGCATTTATACCAGTGGTTCTATTCTGACTGAATCTGACCCAACATGTTTTTGTTCATTCATAATAATGGCCATGGTTGGCTCCAGTTCATTTCTGTGTTCATGCTTTAAAAAGACTATTAACACACTGCGTGTACAAGTGTTTACTTGTACTCATTTTACAGAAAAATGAGTGAATTTCTCCTTTCCAAACAAAATGTATGATATTTGCCACTGTTTCATCATTTCACAGAAAATGTTCCACATCAAATGTTCAATAGTAACAATTTATTTATTTATTATTTATTAAAACATTTTTATGCCGCCCCATTCGCCGAAGCCTCGGGGCGGCTCACATCAATAAATTAAAATAATTATAATATAAATTAAAATATAAATATAAAATTAAAATACAACAGTACAGTATAAAATAAGCCGCCCTGGCCAGATAAAACCAATAATGTTAACAGTTAAAATGCCGCTTGAATAAAAAGGTCTTCGCCTGGCGCCGAAAAACAAATAACGACGGCGCCAGGCGGACCTCTCTGGGGAGCGCGTTCCATAACTTAGGCGCCACCGCAGAGAAAGCCCTCCTCCGAGTACCCACCCTCCTAATTTCTTTCATGGAGGGTTCCCGGAGAAGGGCCTCCCCCGCCGATCTCAAGGGGCGGCTGGGCATATATGGATGCAAGCGCTCCTTCAGGTAACCAGGTAACAATGACTGGATGGCCACTACAAATGCCATACCAGACAAGTTTTGGGTTTCAAATGTGTGGTTACTATTCGTCATGAGATTCTCTCTGGTAGGTATGTGACAGAATGTAGGCATGTCACTTAAATACATTAAAACAAAAACCAACCTGAAATAGAGTTCAAATTCACATTCAGGCAATTCAAACACCAGCTGGGCAATTCCTTTATTAGGACTAGGGATGTGTGAGCAATCCATCTGGATATGTGAATGCTTGGGCTCTGGGGTTAGGTTCTGATAGGGTTTATCTTAACCCAAATTAAGACCAAGCAAAATTCCACAAAAATATGTGCAAGCTTTCAAGTTCTCCAGAAATCTTCATTAGGTTAGATGATACAAAAACAGATGGCCAAATAGATGGAATTTTCTTTTCTTCCCCATCTCCTGCTTCTTGTACCATCTAACTTAACATTAGCATGGGGTTTCTTTTTAGCTCTATTGTTTACTTAAATATGACTCAAATAAACATCAAAATTAGATAACCTCTGGTGTACCGAAAAATTCCCGATGCAATTGTTTCAAGAAAATGCACACTACTAAACCGCAGTGTGAACTAAATGGAAACACAAGCAACCCGAAGAAGGTTTCTTGCTGATAGGGGCATGTACCACACAGACCCAAGGTGATCAGTTTTGATGAGAACCATTTAAAACAAAGCATCAATCCACTGTGACGTTCCTCACCTCGGGTATGAGTGAAGGATCATTCTGAAGCAGCAGTTGACATAACTCATCAGAGCTTAAGATTTCCAGTCGATGCTCTTTTAGGACAGCAAGGTTATGGGGTGAATAAATGTCATGGATGAATTTGCATTGTTTCCTGAAAGTTTGGAAAACATTAAATATCCCTATTAACTATTTTCACTATCAAGCATAAATAATTGACAGCTACTCCTAGATAAAAACAGCCATTTAGCATGATTCTATGCATGTTTACTCAAAAGTAAATTTCACTACATGTAGTGGCTCTTACTCCCAAGTAAGTGTACACTGGGTTGCAGCCTCAGCAAATGACCTGATTTACACATATAAATTTAGTATAGAGTTTTTGTTATGGGCAAACCCTGGACTATGGTTTATCTATGGTTAACCATAACAATCCAGAGTTTACAACCTCACAATAATCCACAGGCAGGTTCCTATGACATGAGAAAACACAGTGAAATCTGTTATGGATCTGTTGTCTTGTCCAGACCCAGTTCTGCAGTTCCTGTATAGCAGGATTAGTTTTCTGAAATCTCAGACAGAATCAATTGTGGTCTCTAAGGTTTCTACACTTTACCATGGCTTCTCCAGTCATCCAAACCTGAGATCTGCATTTTACCATTGTTGATATGGAAACACCATAGAGTACCCTGGCAAGACTGACTGTGCAAGTACAGTGGTACCTCGGTTCACAGATGCTTCAGTTCATGACCAAGTCAGGTTGTGAACAGAAATTCCAGAAAAATTTTGCCTCAGTTTGCGAACTCTATATTGGGTGACGACCATGATCGCGGCCATGTTGCCACATGAACATGATCACGATCGCGGCCATCTTCCCTGCACAAGCGCGATTCCACCCGTCTTCCCCCCGAGCGCGATTGCGCCCGTCTTCCCCCAAGCACAATCGTGCCCGTCTTCCCTGCACGATTGCGATCGCCGCCATCTCTTCCCTCCAGCACAATCACTATTGCACGATTATGGTTTGGATTCTCCCTCCAAACAATAACCTCCGCCCCACCTAGGTTAGAGTTCTCTACTGTATTGTACTTTTTTACTTCGTTGTTCTTTGGTACTTAGCTTCAAACTTTTGTGATTAAAAAAATATTTACAGAACGTATTACATTCTGTAATTTACATTTACATTCAACCTTATGGGGAAATTTGACTTGGCTCATGACCAGCTTGTGACCAGAGTCGTGGAACAGATTAAGTTCGTGCGCTGAGGTACCACTGTAGCAGCTTCTAGCCTTTGATCTCTAGTGCCCTCAGCACCCTAGCAACAAATATTTTGTCCACTTTATGCCCATTGGCTCTTTACTTTTGGAAACCAGGAGACAGCACAAAAATACATGGACGAAGAAGGGCAGAAACACAGTGAAACTGTTTATTTTCATTTAATAAAAAAGTTTGGGGAGAGGCTGGAATGGCAGACATGCAGGAATACTCAGAAGGGGAAAGGGGGAGCTGCCTGAGATCTGCAGTGCATCCATTAGGAGGCTGCTATGGCTAATAGGCTAGAATAGGGGAAGGATGGGAATTCTGTTCACAGAGGCTCTTGAGATTCATGGTCAGGCTGGAAGCACAGAGCAGGAAGTGTGGAAACTGTGCTGCCTGGGTAACCACACAATAGTCTTACTGGTAAATGCAGGCAATAATCTGCACATTATAGAACGAACACTGGGTTATTTGCCGTGCCATGTAAATCCATCCCACACATTCTCTTTCTTGATTGTAGTTACTGACTTATAGTTAAACCATAGTTCAGGGTTCACATGTAATAACAACCCATGATTCAATTATATCAATATGCAACGTATACTCTCAAGGTTGTCATTAAATGAGAATTAGGTCAAGATTTTGGACAAAGAGATAACTTTGTTTGCATGTCTTAATGCAACCCAAAATTTGCTAACCAAATACTCTTTTGAACGAATAGGAGCCAGCTCCCCATTCCCACTGCACTAAACACAGAGACCCTAAGCAATAAATCTGAATTGTTCACCAAAACCCAAATTTTGAGATCATATATCAGTCAGCATTCCTGGATTGTTTTCAGAAATATGTGAGCAACTGGGAACCAGGATACTCTCAAAGAAAATGCAGTGATTAATAAAGGCCAACATGGATTTATCAAAAATAAATCATAAATAAAAATAAATCCTGTCAAGCTAATTTAATCTTGTTTTTTCACTGAATAACCTCCCAAGTGGACAGAGAGAACACTGTGAACATAATCTACCACAACCTTAGCCAAGCTTTAGACATAGCGCCCGAGAACATCCTGATAAGCAAATTAGCAAAAAATGAATTAGACAGGAAAAACTGTCAGGTGGATCCAAAATTGTCTGCTGAATTGAACATAAAAAGTGCTCATCAATGGCACCTTCTCAAACTGGAGGAAGGTAACTAGTGGGGTGCCGCAGGGCTCAGTCCTGGGCCCAGTAATCTTCAACATCTTCATTAATGATTTAGATGATGGAGTACAAGGAAAGATCAATTTGCAGATGATACAAAATAGTGAACACCCTAGAAGACAGAATGAAGATCCAGGACAATCCTGATAAACTTGAATGCTGGGCTGAAAGCAACAGAATGGGGGCAAATGTCAAGTCCTCCACCTAGGAAAAAAGTAACCAAATGCAGTGATACAAGATGGGGAATACGTGGCTCAACAGAACTGAAAAAGACAAAGACCTTGGAAATATTGTGGATAACAAGATAAATATGATCCAAAATGTAATGCAGCTGCAAAAAGGACAAATGCTATTTTGGGAAGCATTAACAGAAGTATTACTTCCAAATCACCCTTCATTAGTCAGACCTCATGTTGAATATTGTGTTCAGTTCTAGGCACCAGGATTTAAGGAAGATACAGAAAAATTAGAAAGGGTCCAGAGGAGAGTTTGAACAATAATCTAAACGGGATGGTGTAACTTAGTGTCCTGCAACAGCAGGGGTATGGACCCAATGACCTTCTGGCCCCTTCCAACTCTACTATTCTATGATTCTATATTCAAAAGTGTTTGGCTGGCAACATAAATATTCCAAGGTTTGAAAACACTGCCCTGTGAGGAGAGACTGAGAGAACTGGGTATGTTCAGCCTTGAAAAAGCAAGGCTGAGAGGGACATGACATCACTCTAAATACCTCAGAGACAGTCACAAAGAGAAAGGTCATGATCTCTTCTTGCTGATATGTTGCACCAACTCAGGTTCGGCCTAGACAGCAGGAAAAGTTTCTTCACTGTCAGAGCAATATGACAGTGGAAACAATTGCCCAGAGAGGTGATGGGCTCTCCCACATTAAAGACATTAAAACAAAAACAAAAACTGGACAGCCGTCAGAGTGGGATGGTGTGAGTTGGTGTCCTGCAACAGCAGGGAATTGGACTTGATGGCCTTCTTAGCCACTTCCAACTCTACTATTCTATGACTCTATTATATTCCTTAAAAACCTAGTTTCTCAAGTTTTATCATAACGTACTTGGTCTTTTAAAACTACTATATCTCATGTTTTCAATATAATTAATTTATAGAAAATATAACAACTGTTTCAACTCACAAAACATACATAAAAATGCAATTACAGTTAACAGGATTCACAGGAACTTTGTTATAACATGCAATCCTACACATACTTGAACAGTTTCCAACTCCCAGCATGCCCCACTCCCATATTTATCCACAGAAGTTCATCTGGAGCTTTGAGTTTTAAGTTAAAAAAAAAAGACTTGAAATTAGGCCAAGACAGAGGAATGGAGAATAAGGCTTCCTTGAGTTCATCATGGTGTCTAAAGTTTTCAGGGGCAGAGTCTAACAAAAAGAAGATAGCAGTCACCCTCGGCCCATGGTTAACACAACAGGAGGGAGAAATACAGCTGCCCAGTTACCATTTCTTCGTATGTTAATAGATTGCATGCAAATACAATCTATGATAGACCAGTGAAGTCAAAGTTCCCTTCCTATCATCATCAGACACCTCTTTAAATGCAAACTAGAAAAGGATATTTAGAACAGAAAAATTAAGTATAATAAAACAAGCTAATGTTTTCATTGGAAAAGTTAAGAGAGAAAAATAGTTCTAGCATAGAAGACCAATACAGTTTAATTTTGCACAATTCAGGAGAGATGATTAGATTGTATTGTACACTGGCAATGACGTCTCTTTCCAAATTTAATTAGGTAAAAACACGATCAAAAAGTTCTTAATGTAAACACGCTGCAAACACTGGCAAAATATAATCGAGCTAACAGCGTTTTGTTTTTATTTGTCAAAACAATGTAAGATTACAATGTAAGGCTACATCCTGTATAGCTGAAACTAAAGATGAGTACAAACATGAATCCCCTCTCTAGCTCCGCCCTCGCTTAAAGACAATGACGAAAGGGTCGGGTGATAAACTTCCAATGAAAGAACACCCTCCCCCAAATTCTCGGAACTGAAATATCCTCTCCACAAACATCAATCCGCCGTTTGGCCACTTTCACGACGTCGCTAAGGGAGTTCCAGCTTAGTTCCATGGCGGAACCGGTCTCCACGGCACCACTGCCCAGGAGACCGGGGCAGATTTACTGGGAGATAAATCCGCCCACACTGCAATTCAATAGGGTTTCGCAGAGTGTACGAACCCAAAATACAGTTGCCGCGCACTTAACCCCGATGAAACCTACTAAAGGGGAAGGGCCAAGGGCAGGAAGGCATCTTCCCTTGTTCGAGGAAACGGACTGAAGCAGGCGCCTTCCAGACCTCTTCAACTACAACGCCCATCGACCCACCCAGCACACCTGTTGGGGAGATTGTAGTCCTATGCTTGTTTAGACAGCTCACAACTCCGGATGTTGCGGCAGGGATTCCGGTCCAAAACATTCGGAGCGCGACGGGGCGGCCAAGAGCGGGTGGAAGAGCGCCCCGTCGGTCGCGGCGGCCGAAGCGGCGGACTCACCTCGCGCCCTCGTTCCGGCAGCCCCCGTACACGAAGAAGCGGCAGAGGTGGAGCTGCCCGCAAGCGCCCGCGCACCGCCCGCGCCCGTGCGCCTGGCACAGCCGCGCCCGGGTGGCGGCCACCACGACTGCCCGCTCTTCGCAGCCGGCCTCCTCTCGGCTCGCCAGCACGAACCAGCGCGCGTCCTGCAGCGCGGCATCCAGCGGCGTCACGGCGAACTCCAGCGCCAGCCGCCGGGAGAGCTCTGCCCTGTCCAGGCAGCCGCCCGACGCGCACAGCTCCTTGTAGGCTCGGCGGGCCAGGCGCTCGGAGGCGAAGTGGTCCATCGTGGCTCCCGGCCGCTGCGGCCAGCGCCGTCGGGAAGCGCCTCCCCACTCCCCGCCTCGCTGGAGCGCCCCCCGAGCGGCCCCACCAGGCGACCGCCTCGCGAGACGCCACCGCCCGGTGCCTTCCGGGGAGCTTCCTCCTCGCCCGATTGCCTCTCGCCCAGAGAAACGAAACCGAAAGCGGGAGTTTGCCCAGTAACGAGCAAGCAGCACCGCTGAGCTCAGCGGATGGGCCGCTGCCCTCCTACCATACCGGTCTGTCTGAGCAGAAGTCGGCCCCGCTGCGTTCCAAGCGGAAGCGCCATCACCAAGATTTACGCCTTCCTCCGCGGTTTTTGTAGCCAGCCTTCACTGTTTGGACTCACGGCCCTGGGTCAGAGGTTCTTTCCAGCCTCTTGGCTTGCTTAACAGACCCAGAGCGTAATGATAGCGTGATGGACTGCGGACTCCGGAGCTCCAGGTCCATGCAACGCCATGGGTGACTTCGCGCCAGTCACTCTCAGTCCAACTTACGTAACAGGTTTCTGTGAGGATCCAATGCAAACTGCCTTGGGTGCCTGGCAAGAGGAACCCATGTGGGATATAGACACAATGAAATAATAATTTAAGCCATGCTGTCTTGAGGTGTGTGGCAGTGGCCATTCTGTTGCAAGTGCCCATTACGGCTTACAGTGATGTGCAAACACTACACATGTCCCTACTACCATGGTTTGCTTTGGGTATATGCATGGTCTGTTCTACCATCCCTCTAGCCTTTAATAGCATTAGAATTTGCCCCAGATCAGTGTGACATCACAGGCAAGTTGTGAGAAATTAAAATGTCTTCTAGTTCTTTACTGGGCTTTCTAATTGCAGTCCCCTAAGTTTCCGCACAATGACCCCAAGTCATTGAGGCATTGTGCAAAATTACAAGAGTGAGCCTGCAGCCCAGGGCAGATTTGAGGAATGGACTGGGTCTCTGCAGCATGCAAGGACGTGGTGTGCTGACCTGGGCCTGTTAAATACTTTCTGACAAAAAATTAAAGCACTTTTTAATGTGCAGAGACCAATTAATAAAGAACATTTTAAGTACATTCATGCAGTCTAAATCTTGAAAGCACTAAGGATGCTATGGGGGTTGTTCAAAGCAGTTCACAAGACATCTCAGTATCTTCACAGGAGCATTCTCATGCAAGACGTTATTATTCCCATACAGCAGAGACTTCCTTCTTAGGACAGAGGGTAAGTTCAGGCAAGCTTCTAAAGGCTGAGGGTAGACATTAAGAACTGAAAACAAAGCTTGTGCGTTCCTTGTGCATTCCAACGTGCTGATCTCCTCCTCCTCTGCCTGCTTTAATCAATGTTTATCTGGCTGGATTTAAAGAGAATGCAAAATGTTTGTTCCCATTCTTTGCTTTAATATTTGAACCTGCACCTGTTAGCAAACCATGGTTTCTGAAATCAGCAGATTGACCTGAAATGGCAATTCAAACCTTAACTGCTGCTGTGCCTCAATTCACAATCCACTGATAAACCAGTTATGGCCATTGCTCCATCTCTGTCTCAGGATGTTGCGCTACAGCTACGGAAGGTGTTCTGCCTGCCACGTCGTGGAGATGAGCAAACTTAAACATAAAGTAGATGGAAAAGAAAAACAAGCAACTGTATCTGAATAGTATTATTTTTATATAAACCACGTTTCTACTTAAAATAGCATTCAAGGCAGCTAATAATCATAATTAAAATGGATTAAGGCAATAAATATTGCATTAAAATTTAATAAAAGCTTAATTACAGAATTAAAAAAAACCCTGCACCAACCCACATCGGGGAAGTGTTTAGACTGGGAATTGGGAAATTGAATTCTAGCCCCTAAAATAGGCTCTACCTGGGTATCAGGTAACCAGGTGGGGCCTCACATTCCTTCCCCACAGATCCAAGGCAAAACATTTAGCCTGTCTTGCATGGCACAGAGGTGGCCCTCATATCTGCCCGCCTCTCACTATGCACACCAGTTAGAATTGTCATGGGCAGCCTCACTGGATTGTGCTCTGAGTATGCGTAAGTCACTGAATCTACCAGACAGTTTGTTGCAAGGATAAAATGGAGAGGAAGATTTTGTAGGCTGCCTCGGCTTGCTTTCAGGAAAAGAAGATGGGATTAAAAATGCAATAACAAAACTCAACAGACCCTTTTACAGGCCAAAGGCTTCGCACATAAAGCTGTCTGCCTGCTGGTGGAAGGACCGCAAGGAGAGCAAACCAAGCCTTTCATGGGAGGCAGTTGCATGGCATGGGAGCAACCACCAAAAAGGCCCTCTCTTGGGTCATCACAGACACACTTCAGAAGGCTGAAGTTTGCAGAAGATCCTAGCAACCAGGCAGGCTCATATGGAAGAGGGTGGTCTTTCCGGCACCCTAGTAAAGCTAAATCGGCCTACATAGGTCATAACCAGCACCTTGAATTCTGCCCAGAAAAAGACACGTAGCTAGTGAAGCTGCTACAACCAGCCCTCTGAACCCAGCCAATACTTTTCTCAGCTGTGCCAGCTGTCCCGCCGCCCCCACCGCCCTCCCTCCCTCTCTCTCTGGTTGTCATTTGACTGGCCTCTGTGTGAAGGCATCCTCTACAGATATGTGATGGATTGGGGGAAAACATCCAGGGAAAAACTGAACCCTATTCCCTCACCTGGACCATTTCCTCCTTCCTCCTTTCATCATTAGCAATGTTTTCTTCAATTTTGAACAAAGGATTATTAAATATATTCTTTTAGAATGATGAGTACGATATTTTCAACAAGGTGTTATATAGTGCTACTTGGCCTTAGCTCCACGAAAATGATTTCTGAAGCTATGTAATAGAAGACTTGAAGCCTTAGGGAAAATGTTTTTATTTAATCCTCTTTGTAGGGTACTGCATATGGTTATGTCTTCCATTCCTTACAAAACATACTGATCCAATGCATCTTGTACTGAAAGATGTTTAGAGATGCTCCATGTCATGCCCTGTTTCTCAACAAGACTGGAATCACCACCTCAGAATATGCAAAGAGAATGCATTCTTGATAGCTTGGCATTTGCTCTATACAGTCCTGGGTTTCTGTGCTTATTAGATTATATTCTTACTAGATGCTGTAAAAGCCATGAATCTTGTACTTCTAAAATTTACAACTGAGAGAAACAATATACCGCTTATCCTGCTGCTGCATCACACCTGATGAAAGGGTGTGGATTATCCTACATGTGTTGCTTTTACAAAAAAGCTCTCATTGCTACATTTTTAATAACCTTCCCAAGGAAAACCACAATTAGGGAATATAACCTCAGCTATAAGGCCTTTAGAGTACAATTGTATTGACATTGTCCTAGATCCACATAAGCCTCCCAATTTGGAGACTTACATACACCAAAGTTTTCAGCTGCCACTGTGCCTTGCCTTATGGAATTGATCTAGACAGCCATTTTTGGCCATCTAGATAAAATGCCAAGGTGGAAGGGGTGGAAGGAGGCTGGGCCACTGGTGGAAATTAGTGTAGGTAGGGAGCCCCAGCATCCTCTCTTCTCCCCATCACCAGCATGTCCCCTTTTCCCCTCTCCAAGGTGCACTTCTGAGAAAAAGCTGCAGTGGCTCTTTCTGTGCTAGCTATTAGGAGGCAGGGCAGGGGCTCAACAGCTGAAGTCTGGCACCAACATCAGAGGACCTTGGTGTTGGGAGGCCAAAGGATGCTGTGGCTCCTTTACAGTCAATGTAAGGAGGCCATAGGACTGCACCCTTGACCATTGCCACCAAATCACACCCTTTGCACCTAAAAAACTCAGTACCCTGCTTTCTGCAGTGGTAATGTTACTACCTGCCATCAACTTGTCTCTGTCTCATGGTGACCTATGCGTGAACGTTCCCCAAAGTGTCCTGTCCTTAACAGCCCTTGTTGTTAGTCGCAAAGTCGTGTCCGACCCATTGCGACCCCATGGACAACATTCCTCCAGGCCTTCCTGTCCTCCACCATCCCCCAGAGTCCATGTAAGCTCACGCCGACTGCTTCAGTGACTCCATCCAGCCACCTCATTCTCTGCCATCCCCTTCTTCTTTTGCCATCTATTGTTCCCAGCATTAGGCTCTTCTCCAGGGAGTCCTTCCTTCTCATTTGGTGGCCAAAGTATTTGAGTTTCATCTTCAGTATCTGGCCTTCTAAGTCCACTTAAGCTCACGCCTATTCACTCCCTATGAATCCCAGGTTCTGACTTTAGAAAATTGAGCTATCTCAATTCTTCCTCTTCTTCTGCCACCAATTTCCACTAGCACAGTTGTCTTCTCCAGTGAGTCTGTCATTCTCAAGATGTGCCCTGGTATCAGTTTTGTCAGTTTTGCTTCTAAGGAAAGCTCTGGATTGATTTAATGTTTCTGTTGGTCCAGGTATAGCTTCCTTCAGCATCCATTTTCTTCCTGCAAGCTTTCTTCACTGTGCAGCTTTCACACTCATACTGATCGGGAATAATGCAGATATCTTGGCCTTGGTCTCTAGTGAAAAATCCTTGATCTTTTCTAGTTTCGTCACTGTAGTCCTTCATTACTACACCTTCTTATGGTATAGGCTGGGAAATAAAGTGTTGCTTTTCAAATAATAGGCTACAGTTGCTTCAAAGTTCTTAAATAAAAATAAATAAAATAAATAATAATAAATATGTTTAGTTACAATTCTTGATAGGTAAAAGAGCCTTCTCCAGCTAACTAAGTTCTTACTAGCCTCTCCTGCAAACTAGATTTCTCTGAACTGCACCTGACTCCACTTCTCACAAATAAGAACAAGTGTCATATTCTAAACTTCTTTTTCCTCCAGCTCTTTCTCTTTTTCCACAGTACGATAATTCAAACAGGAAGCAATTCAGACAGGGACTACTTGAAATTCCTGCTGGTCAGACAAAATAGGAACCTCAGATGTAATAACCAATACTGTATGATCCAACCAATAATTTGGTTATCATTGTGAAATCAATCCTGACTGCTCTTTAGAAGGTCAGGTACTAAAACTGAAGCTCAAATACTTTGGCTACCTAATGAGAAGGAAGGACTCATTGGAAAAGACCTTGATGCTGGGAATGATTGAAGGCAAAAGGAGAAGGGGCCGGCAGAGGATGAGATGGCTGGATGG